TTTTTCTTTTCGAAAAAAAGTCAAACATATATTATTAGTCTTCTTCTTCTTCTGCGACAAGTACATTGATGATTCCAAAAAAAAAATAAGACATACTGCAAATAAAATACCTATATAGTTATTTAACGCCTCTACCAGATAGTACAATAAACACAAAAAGAAACAGTACACTTACATAATTCCTTAGGCCTCTATTACCTAATCTTAGCACAATTTAGTCCTACATATTCAGTTTACTGGTTGTTCAAACTTTACACCTAATCTCATTAATATACAAAATAACTAATTACTATACACTTTTATATGTTAAAACTATAAAGATTTGTGAATAAAGTTCTTTCTATGTCTTGCATCTTACAAAGTATAGTATTATTACATATTTTATAATAATAACGATGATAAAGAGTGGGTAATTTATATTGAATAACCTTGTACCTACCTTGGGCCGTTTTTATGGTTTTGTTTTTTAATGGGACTTTAAACCAAGACAATGTTAATATTTGCACAATTCAAACAATAATTGTAAAACGAAATAAAAATAAATAAAATATGTTATAATGCCGGGTTCAGAGCAAGCAGACAAAAAAGCAGTGGCGTAGCCTATAGGGAGTCAGGGGAGACGACAGTCATCCCGCCATTTGCGATTGGAGCACCCTCTTGTTCCCCGATTATATTCGCTATTCACAATAAAAAAAGCAAAAAGAGAATATTACTAAATTAATTTTGTATAAGGATAATTGCCTGACCGTAGTAGAATTTTATATAAATTCAAATTTCCTTGGTTTATTAATTTTATTTTCTATCATTAGCACAGCACTACATATGTTTCGGAAAACTTTGTTTTCGTCTTCGGGCTAATTTTTAAATTTTGACTGCACTCGAAGATGGAAACAAAGTTTTCCGAAACATATGTAGTGTGCTGTGCTAACGATAGAAAATAAAATTAATGACCGAATAAACCAAGGAAATTTTTATTTATATAAACTAATTTTGTGAGTTAACCCGCTTTAAAGACTTCTTAGAAGTTTAACAAATCCCTGTGATTTATGTAAGCTGTTGAGTTGAATTATATGCTCGCCAATCTCCAAACAGTATTTCTATCTCTATATCTTATTATTCGATTAAAAAAATATTTTAAGACAGAAAATTTGACGCCCCAGAAAAGCTTCGTCCCTTTGGCCCACGCTACGCCACTGCAAAAAATATATTATTTTGGGAAAATTACACGACAATACTGCGACAAAAAATAATGTTTAGAACAAGACAAAATTGAATTAATCTGTCTATATTAAAAAACAAAGCTAAAACAAAATTCAGTTGCCGTAAAACAGTTTTTAAATAACCATATAAAAGACTTATTCTTGTCATCCAATAAACTAAAGAGAAAACGAACAAGTTTTTTGATGAGACCATGTTTAAACATTTTTATTAATCGTTCTATAGATGAATTGATAGCTGACCTGCAAGAAGATGATTTTGGACTAAATAGTGAGTTAACTCAAGCTTTAAATAATTTTTAAATGTCCATTTTTTTAAGAATTGCCTCGCAAAACTTACCAGTTCATATCCCCTTTTGCCAAATTCGTCAGCTTGTGTTTGTTCATGCAACAATCGTTCAAATTTATGAGCCTGATCAATTTTGATAGATGTTTAGTTAGTCCCATAATTTTTAATAAATGTTCTTTTTTATTAAATATTATTAATAATTTTCATTAGCAATAGTGCAACTCATTTTCTTAAAAGCAAGATATAGGAGTTATCCTAGTTTTTATGATTGGTGTGTTCTGTTACGAAACATCTGGCTAGATAATTCCCAAGTGTCTGTGTGACCTGTATGGCTAGTTTATTATCAAAATAAGAATCGTTAATTTGGCAATTTCCACTTTTATATTTGAATCGAGTCAATTGCAGAAGAAAAAATATGATTTAGGGTCGAACCACAATTATGTACAATCAACCATTCACGGTGTTATCTACGTAATTTTCAAATTATTATAAGAGAGTATGGGAGAGTCTTTTTGCAAGGATTGTTTATGGTTATAATTCGGTAGTGACTTACAGAAGGCTCTAAATAGCACAAATGGCTTTTAAAATTACATTATGGAAGTATATTTGCTTTCTTAATGCTAGTTATTATCAGTTCAATCTATTTTTCTCGTTGTAACTGTTATAGTTAAAAGTGTTTTTCAGGAAAGTACGTAATTCATTTTGGAGTGTGACAACAATGTAAAGCAAGCGTCTTAGAAGTAAATGCTGATTCATTAATAAAACACATGCTCGCTTCTCAGATAAACAAACTCGCACAAACCATCCCCATTTAAATTATTAGCCGTCTCTTTATTTCTAATGCAGCAGCCAATGCGACACCTCTGTTTGTGTTATATAAAACACAATTTAAATGATTTCAATTAATAAGGACTTAATTATGTCCAATCAGGCTTGGGTCTAGCCACTGGCTCCCCTTAATCTGACTTGGGGTCGGTCCATCCTGCTTTCCTTCCTCTTCGGGTCCGCATGGTGGCACTGAAGCGCAGATGGCTTACTATGCCAACATTTGGATGCCTTATATTACTCCCTCCCATTCATCATAAACTCATTTATCGTCATTCATTCCACGTCGTCGATGGTTAACCGCTAGTTGGCTAAGTCGGTGGACCGCCAAGCCGTCACACACACACGACGTGACTGGAGACATCATTCCTTAGCTGTTGCGAGAATGTGAATGCCACACTAATCTTGCAGCTAGCATATTTGGCATATTAGTCTAGTAGTTTTTCCTCGTTGTGTACAATATATTGGTTCTTCAGGTACGTTTATAGTTAGTATATTATGGTATTATTATCAGATAGAATGTTAAGGATATTTCTGATTTAGTTTTTAGAATAGAATAAGTTGGTTAGGGCGCCAAGGGTCGAAAGCTTTGTTGGACAGATGTTTTTATTCCCTTTAGGGTCCATATAATGGACTAGGATGGTGGTGTTGTTAGGCATGTCCAGAATATTGAAATGGCAGATATTAGTATCGACTATTGATACGTCTCTCAAACGTTGTCAACAAGTCAGATAAACGGTTGTGCAATATGCTGTATAATAAATACTACTCTATACTTAGCATCAGATCAGATAATTCTTAGAGTTTCTCTCCACAGATCTAACCTTTATTTGTGACATCACTTTGTCATAGGTATACTACTCGTATCACTTTTTCATTAAAAACTTGAGGCAGATTCGCACATAATTAGATACTATGGTAGATACTTGTTTTAGTCATACTTAACTTCCCTTTAAAATTTTTATATCTGATATTTTTTTCATTATCCTTTCCTTTTTATATTCTATAAATATCCACGTCTTTTTGGTATTCTTTCTATATTTCTTGAAATCTTGACATTTAACGAAATTTTCTGTTATCATCTCAGATTGTCGTTTTTGACCATTCGTTTATTTGCTTAATACCAGTAATCTCTAAATGTTCATTTTGTTTACAATTCGTCGCTGACGTTATTCTTCTATAAAAAACTTCCAAGATTTTTTATCATAAGTGGAATTAAACAATTTCGAATATTACAATAAAAATTACTGTTCTAAATTTATTACATTTTATTGCATTAATAAACACCACACTTTCAGATTTGAAATTTTAGGAAAATATAGTACTTATTTTATATGATTTATTGTTTCTTCTTTCTATTTAAATTTTTATTGGTATATTCAGCTTAAGTTTTATTAGTTTCTCTAATTCAATCATTTTTTATGTTGACCCACTTTTGTTCAAAATAAGTTAGAGAAGATCAAAAGAAATAACCTTTTTTCCTTAAGAGGGATTAATCAAATTTCTATATCATACTTAAATATATAAATTAGAGTGATAATAGAGAAGGGATGAAATAAATAAATAAATATATATACAGGGTGTTTCCGAACTTGGCGTCCAAATTTGTAGGGGTGGTAGTTCGCATAATTTGAGACCGATTCGCAGATTTCATTTTTCCAAAATATTTAAAATAAAAATAATTAAAAATTATAAACAGGTACGGTCCTGCACAGCCATGGGACCGCCTCAAATCTCGCGCGCTACGCTTAGAATCGACAAAATTGCAAATCGCATCTGTTTTTGAGGACTATTGCGCTACGCGCTCAGGGTAGGACCTGCTCTTTGATTTTTTTATAATGGCTCTATTTTGTTTATTATAATTTTTTTAGAAAAATGAAATCTACCAATCGCTCTCAAATTATGCGAACTACCACCCCTACAAATTTGGACGTCAAGTTCGGAAACACTCTGTATATATATACAGTGTGTCTACTTAAGTTGGAACCATATGGAAAACATTTTTATTATTGATTTTAGGAAAAAAAGTTATTCTTGATAAAAAGTCCTGCATGACCCAAAACCTAAAATACAGTCATCACATATCAAATTTTTCAAGCCGTATACGAGGTTTGTCAAAAAATATGAATTTTGCTCATGAGTAAAGTACGTTTATTTTTGACAAAATCGAAAATTTTCATTAAGAAAAGTTGATTAGAAATATGCAATTACACCGATCTATCTGAAAAAACAGATTTTCTTATTTTTTATAAACTCTACACTCTACACATTGATTGTAAATATCTGAAAACGTTATAAATTACGTTAGCTACTATAAACATGATACGCTTTCATTTTGTTGATGTATGTGAAGAATTTAGTAAATTTCTTAATGAAAATTCATATTTTTTGAAAAATTTGATATCTGATGACTGTATTTCAAGTTTTGGGTCATGCAGGACTTTTTATCAAGAATAACTTTTTTTCCTAAAATCAATAATAAAAATGTTTTCCATATGGTTCCAACCTAAGTAGACACACTGTATATACATATAGATACTAATTAAAGAATTAAATTCAGATTTAAATTGTAGAATAATAAACTTTTTTTAATTAAATCTAAATTATACCTATACTGGATTACTTGTTCTCTGTACTCTGATTTAAAATAGTATGAGCTTTTTTTTCAGAAGATAGGCTTCTACGGCTTGGACAATCCTGCCTTAATTTCATCAAATGGTAACCTTGAAAACAATATACCTCAAGAAAAGAAATCCAGTATCAATGTAAGTTTCCTGTTTATATAATAAATAACTTATTTGTATAAGAACTCTTAAAAGAATATCCAAAACCAAATATATATATATAGGGGAGACCGGAGATAGTTGTTACAGTGACAGGTTATTACATTACATTTTTTTTGTACTCAACGAGACCTACTGCGAATCTTTCAATGTATATTAGTCTGTAGGAGAACAATTTAACTCAATTCGTTGTTTATAGCATATATACGCATTTTATCAACAAGTTTACTGCACAACGGAACTTGCGCACTCCTTTTTTCAATAACAAAATTATATTTAAAATATAAAGTAAACTGAACAATTCAAAAATATCTTAATAAAAATGTCCTATTAACATGCCAAAAGTAGTGGTTTCACATTTTTTGTTTACCTAATGTTATAATTGAAAAAACATGAATCCATTCAATTATTTGTACAATGTAAATCTGGCTTTGGATATCGCTAGACTAGAATCGAATGCCAAAACCCAAACGATACAATATAATAACAAACAATATGGCTGTCGATGTAAACATATTATAAGTATACTTTTATAAACGACTGGACAAAAAACAAGTGACTGCCAAATATACAGAAAATTCCCATGACAACTCATCTAGTGGAAGTTACTCTGAGAACCACACTTATTACTTATTTTGTGAAGAATCATTCCACAATTCTCGCCCGAAAGAAAAATGGATTCATACAAGATTCATACAAGATTCATACAAGATTCATACAAGATTCATACAAGATTCATACAAGATTCATACAAGATTCATACAAGATTCATACAAGATTCATACAAGATTCATACAAGATTCATACAAGATTCATACAAGATTCATACAAGATTCATACAAGATTCATACAAGATTCATACAAGATTCATACAAGATTCATACAAGATTCATACAAGATTCATACAAGATTCATACAAGATTCATACAAGATTCATACAAGATTCATACAAGATTCATACAAGATTCATACAAGATTCATACAAGATTCATACAAGATTCATACAAGATTCATACAAGATTCATACAAGATTCATACAAGATTCTTACAAGATTCATACAAGATTCATACAAGATTCATACAAGATTCATACAAGATTCATACAAGATTCATACAAGATTCATACAAGATTCATACAAGATTCATACAAGATTCATACAAGATTCATACAAGATTCATACAAGATTCATACAAGATTCATACAAGATTCATACAAGATTCATACAAGATTCATACAAGATTCATACAAGATTCATACAAGATTCATACAAGATGCAGAAACTTGACCCATGTAGATTGTACGGATGGTAATCAGTTTATGACACATACTTTGATTACTATACGGGGCAAGAGAGAGGTCCCACACGCCCAACATAGAGCGCGGCCATTTTGAACCCTGTGACACAGTTTACAGCTAAAGAATCAGATCGCTCACTCTGCGTCAGCACTTTGGATCTCAATGTTTCAGTTTATACACTGTGCAACTCGGATAATACAATATATGACAACCTCCTATAATAAAACAGCAGTCTTCTGCGTATCCTGAATTTGTATCCCTGGAGTAGATGTTATTTTGGAACTTTCAACTGGTCCGAGTGAGCTAACTGATTCTTTAGCAATAAACTGTGACTTCAAAAATAATATTCACTGACACTGACAGCATCAAGCAAAATATCAGGTGCGTTTTAATCATCCGCTTCTGCTTCCGGAATTAGGTATTCCCACATACTTTGATTTCTATACGAGGCAAGAGAGAGGTCCGATACGCCCAACATAGGGCGCGGCCATTTTGAACCCTGTGACACAGTTTACAGCTAAAGAATCAGATCGCTCACTCTGCGTCGGCACTTTGGATCTCAATGTTTCAGTTTATACACTGTGCAACTCGGATAATACAATATATGACAACCGCCTATAATAAAACAGCAGTCTTCTGCGTATCCTGAATTTGTATCCCTGGAGTGGATGTTATTTTGGAACTTTCAACTGGTCCGAGTGAGCTAACTGATTCTTTAGCAATAAACTGTGATTTCAAAAATAATATTCACTGACACTGACAGCAGCAAGCAAAATATCAGGTGCGTTTTAATCAACCGCTTCTGCTTCTGGAATTGTCGGTTTAGTCGTTTTAACCTGTCAGATTAAAACAAGAAAACTGACAATTCCGAAGCAGAAGCGGATGATTAAAACGCACCTATTAAAAATATTGCGCCAAGATGTAGGCAACAAGTAATAAGGGTTCAAAATGGCGGAGTTTTGTATCTCCTTTTAAAAGGCACTCAGAAAGCTGCGCAGTGCGACCATTCTCCGTATAGTAAAAGAAAATCAAAGTATGTGGTTTATGATGATTTAGACTGAAGTTGTTTTATTTATTAAATATAAAATTGTACGTAACAACTAACCCCAAAATGGGACAAGTTGTTACATCTTGCAATACTTCAAAATAAAATCGTTATTCATGTTTGGTTTTATTGTGAGTTTTTATTTATGTTTGAGTAAAATATGATACTTTAAAAAATATATTGCTATACATATGACAGCAATAGCTTTTTCCTTTGCGAATGGTATACATTCAAAGTTAAATTAAAACAACTTACCCCGGTTCACCTACTTTTAAATACCTATATATAATTTTTAATTATTTTTTACTGCCCCTATTGATTAAACTATAAAATGGCCAATATATAATTTAGGAAAATGAGACGGAGCTTCAAGAACGATCGCAATGGGGCAGTGGGCTCGAATTTCTCATGTCTTGCGTTGCAGTGTCGGTTGGTTTGGGTAATATTTGGAGATTTCCATTCATAGCTAACAGAAACGGCGGAGGGGCTTTTCTTATACCATACATTATCGTTTTGACTGTAATAGGAAGGCCGATGTACTACATGGAAATGGTTCTAGGACAGTTTTCTAGCAGGGGATGTGGAAAAATGTACCAAACATTAAGTCCTGTTTTAAGAGGTAGGTACTATAAAAATTTTAACATATAATTTCAAGCATAAAGAATAACAGAAATATCTATGTACTTACCATTTAATTTCTAGGTATTGGAATTGGCCAAGTCATTGGTTGTGCCTGTGTGGCCTCTTATTATGGTAGTCTTATGGCAATAACCCTTTTTTACCTTATTAATTCATTTACTAACAATTTTCCATGGACAACTTGTCAGGATTCTTGGAATAACTATTTAAATTCAAGAAATCTAACCTGTGTGGATATAAACAATCCTTCTAGTGTTGGGAATATTACTATAAGTTCTTCAGAAATGTATTTTAGGTAAGACGATATAGACTATTTGTTACATATATTAAAAATTAGAAAAAAATAAAATATTGAAAATCATTAAAGAGGAAACGAGATTCGACTACATTTACTGCCTCCTGGCAGGCCTCCCGACATCAACCCGAGCAAATATATTTATATCCTGTCATTATTGGATGGGCACTTTAACTAGTTTGATATATTCAATAGACTGAGGAGCCTAGGAAGTAGCTCTTCTGTGAAGCTTTTGTTTTTCTTCCAACAAGTGTAATAAATCTCGATAGACTTTCGAAGTTGCACAGTTGGCACATGTACTGGAGTGCGTTTAGAAACACCGCACGGCGCGTCTCACCACATACATTAGAATAGGGTCCAGACGCGCCGTGCGTGGTTTCTAAACGCACTCCTACAGTATCCTTCTTTTTCTGACACAATCGACACAAAGTATCTTATGTCAGTCCAAAGTTGTACGTATAAGCATACAATGCTGTTAATAGGTCTACCAGTATTCGTCCTATTGGGTAAAACTACCGTGAGTACCATAGAAAATGAAAAGGCTAATGAACTCGCCAAAGCAGGGTTAGAACTACCATTGACAGGACCCGAACTTGTATTTGGAATAAGCAAAACATCTGCTCGACAGGCAGTGAACAAGTGAATAACAACAAAACAACAAATTCACTGGCAGCAGATAAGAGGACACAGAACCAGTAAGCTCACGCTAAGAGAACCAAATCAACGCACGGCTGCTGAGGTACTACAGCTTGCAAGGCTTCAGATATCGACCTTTGTAAAATAACTAACGGGACACCGCTTACTGAAACTCCTTCATGTGGTGGGAGGGATTACACAAAGATCCCACCACGTGCAGATTCTGATTGGATGAGGAAGGAACCTCATACCATGTTATCTTCGAATGCGAAGTACTTACTAGGCGGTTTGCACCCTTTTCGGCTTAGAACCGAAAATGAATCTTGTTAGGGAATTTAGTAAAACTAACCAAGGGCACAGGACTATTTCAAAGATAGAACCTAAATACGGGAAAAGCAGGGAGATACAATAGACCCAAGAGGCCGCAGTGTTCTGTGCCAAATCTAATTCTATCTGCTTATAACCGACAAAGATAAAGATCCTATTTTGTCTTAGTAGACACTCAGTGAAAGCATGCTCTGATGATTATCTATGTAACACTTTAAAAGGGGTCTACAGAAAATACAAAAAAAAATTCAATAAAACTGGAATAAAGAAATGCCTACCAATAAAATTAGTCTCGTGAATTGTGGGCTAACCTTACATAACACAGCAGCTGAAGAGTTTCTACGTTGATATGATGTATAGGTGAAGTCTGGTTTCATGCTTGCCAGTAAAAATTTTGATATATTCTTTTACTGTTGGAATTCCAAGTTCTCGGGAAAAATTTGCATTGCGCACATACCAAATTTCGTTCACTATATTGCGAACCATTTATTCTGAAATTTTAAATATACTTAATGTAGCTACCTACTAATTTTTAGGAGAGAGGTTCTAAAAGAAAGTGACGATATCAGCAACGGCATCGGACTACCCGACTGGCAATTGACTCTTCTTCTTTTACTGTCATGGTTTATAACTTTCCTGGTGTCAGCGAGAGGGATAAGAAGTTCAGGCAAAGCTTCATATTTCTTAGCTATATTTCCGTACATGATCATGATAGCTTTATTAATTAGGGCATCAACTTTGGAAGGGGCTGCCGAAGGGATGATGTATTTCATTGAAACTGACTGGTCCAGACTTTTAGATGCTGATGTAAGTATTAAAATTGTATGAGGCAATCGCGTAACGAATTGGTTACCAATTTTGATCAAATAATTTCATTCACCTTAAAAAGTTTTAATTTAAAACAGAAGATTTCTCGGAAGTAAAGACGTGCAGCAATTTGCTGAGGCAGATCCCTTTGAAACTTGGTAAGTACTTAGTTTCGCAAGTTATTTGAAAACAACTGAACAATGTGAACTATGAAACTACACTCCAGTTTTAAACTTTCAACTATCGACACGACAGTATGCCTCGGAGTCAACTTATCGTTATCGCTAAAAAGCACTATTTCCAACCCTTGATAAATTCACTTCGTTTAGAAATATAATAGTATGAGATTTGAGTTTCCTACAAGCAAACAAATGGTTTGGTCGTGGAATAGTGTAAATATGAATATAATTTGTGTTCTTAGAATAATTAAATGAAACATTGTGCCGTTCGTCAGTATTTGATTTTATGGATAAAGGGTTTCTTTCTCAAGATAGAAAATCTACATAGTACTGGGTTCGCCCGATGAATTAATAGCAATATTAATCTGCAAAGATAACAGAACCTTTGTAGGTTATATCTGGTGGCAAGAGCGGATTAAATTAAAGGTGGTCCAAAAGACCATGTATATTATTACAGTGATAACTTGGATTGTTTTAATTATATCAGAGCGCTTCTCGAGTTCTCAGGCCTTTGCGAGGTATTTAAGATATTTTATATATTTTATTTGTAGGTATGGTACGCCGCAGTTACACAATGTTTTTTTTCAATTAACGTTGGTTTTGGAAATATCATTACACTTTCCTCTTTTAATAAATTTGACCACAATATAAAAAGGTGATGTTCTAAAAAAAAATTCCTAATGAATCCGTTTCTAATTTATTAATAAACCACTTAATTTTTTTAGAGACGCGTTGATTTTAACCTCTTTGGACACATTTACATCACTTTTATCTGGAATAACGATTTTCGGAATACTTGGAAACTTAGCTCATGAAATGGGCATTAATCCAAGTGAAGTTCTTTCAGCCGGTGGTGGCACTGGTTTGGCATTTATTTCTTATCCAACTGCTCTTTCTAAGTTTACATTTGCACCGTGGGTACGTATAAAAGTTAGTTTATATATTCGATACTACTACACAAATTAACAATAAATGTATCTACTGTAATTTAAGCCACAATAAAAGTAAGCCATCAGCAAAGTGTAGAATACCTTCTATCTTTAAATACGAATAGGTCATGGAGATAGAAGAACTCCATGGATTACGTAGAGCAGTGTATAAATACGAGGTTAAAGCTCAGAGTAAGTAAGTAGTAAAGATAGGACAGTAAACAATGTTTGTGTTGCCATGATAATATGGTCGAGAATTCTAATTAGAGAGAAATATATTAATATCTCTATCTCTTTGTTTGTATTTGTCAGTTTTACATAGCTTTTCTCAGACAATTTATTCCAGTGTTTAATTTAAATTTGTTCGTGTTGTGGTGTTAAAAGTAATTGTTATTAATATTATATTCATAACAAAAAAGTCATATTTTGTTTTCACTTCATTAAAAATGCACCTACCTACCTTTTAAAACATTTTATTTTATATTCTATTTGGTCAACATTTTCGCATTTAAAATGACCCAGCGAAATTGTTTTACGGTACGCTACTGCTGAGAATTCTAAAACGAGTGAGAAAGCCTTCATTAGAAAAAGAGATACTGATTATATGATAGCGAGATTAATATTGTATAACTTTATGCAGTGGTGGCCTATCTGCTATTATATTATCTAAGGGTTAAAGTGAAGAGTTCTCGACCTGACAATAAAAAAATGCGATTATCAGTTAAAAAATGGTTTACTTTTTCTACATATTCTTTCCTGACTTCAATACACTTGGTCCAGCGTTTGTTTAACATCAGTGTTTCGTCCTGGGAGTGAGAAACTGGAAGGCTATGAAAATATTCATCTACATCCTTCTCAATTTCTTGATTGGACGCAAAGCCGCTTCCTAATAACAAAGTTCTTCAAGTTCGGGAACAGATGGAAGTCTTAGGGTACCAAATCAAGAGAATATGGGGAATGGTGAAGCAAATCATACCCCAAATCATACAGTTTTCCCATCGCCAACGCACTCTTGTATGCAGCTGAGTTGTCCTGGTGAAAAATGAGTTTTTTCTTCTTCTTGCCAGACTTCTGGTATTCACCTGCTCAAGAATGTTGGAGTAATATTCACCTGTAATTGTTCTGTTTTTTTTTAAGGTAATCAATTAACAGGATTTCTTTTAGCATCCCAAAATGCGCTAACCATGATTATCTTCGAAGGACGTGCGACCACGTTTAAATTCAGTTGCCCACTTTTTAACGGTAGACATGGAAGGAACAGAGTATCCGTAATCCTAAGAATTTTATGACCGCACGATATTCAAGTTTATTCATTTAAACGAAAAACATGCAAGACGTTACTGCGAAAAGTCGTGCAAACAAACTACTTGAAAGAAAACAATATGAAATATTTGCTGATTGGAACGCAATCTCTATATCAGACCGAGAACTGCAAGAAGGACACTCTCTATAATGATCAGGAACTGAGTAATCAGATGAAAGTCTACTAGCTTCAGGTCCAAAGATACTTGGGATATGCCCCAAGATGAAATGAAAAAGAAGTACAATTTTGTGAAAAACTTCAAAACTACAGAGCTGCACTGCAAGAAAGAATGGAGCCAAGAATCAATTGCGCTTGCAACCGAAAGACATGCTATTCAGTGGTATACGGATGGTTCTAAACCCATAGAAGGAACTGAAATAGAAGTTTATGGGCCTAGACCAGGCACTCTGAAAGTTTGGAAAAATACCCAAGCATCTTCCAGGCGGAAATTCGCGCCATTAAGAAGTGTATCCAGTTTAACATTGAGAGAAATTATCGTAGACAAGAAATTATTATCGTGTCCGATAGCCAAGCAGACATCAAAGCGTTGAGCTCTTACGTAATCAGCTCAAAAATGGTTTGGAGATGCCTAGAAAAACTGAATGAGCTAGGCGAGGAAAATACAGTCCCCACTCGACCATTCACTGTTGGGTTCTAATTAACAGTGCTGTTCCTAAAGTGGCGCTGGGAAACAGTAAAAAAGCATACACAGAACACGAGGCTAATGGCCTTAGTAGTCGATGCCGATGACACCAAATTAAAAAAAAAAAAAAAACCTGGGTTCCGGGACATAACAGGGAAAAGAGTAACGAGATTGCAGATAGTCTCGCAAGGAAAGGGGCTCAAACACTCTTCGTGGCACCTGAGCCGTTCTGCTAAATCACCAGTAAAACAATATCAGGAGAGATTAAAAAAGAATTGGGCCGAAGAAGAACCGATAATTGGAACAATCTCTTGAGGATAAAGGATAAAACAGGCTAAGATACTACTGGGTAAATATAACGAGAAAAGATCGGAAGCCTGTATCTGCCTAAGCAAAGAACAGGTTACGCATTGTAACACGAATCTTCACCGGGCATTGTCGACTCAAAGGACACCTCAATAAACTGAGAGTAGTAGAAGATAGGAGAAGGACGAAACCTCCATTCACATTCTGACTGAATGTGTAGTACTACAGAATCCAAGGGCACTATACCAAGAAGCATATCAAATAGAAGAGGGAGATTTACCTAACTTGAAGCCACTCCAAATTCTACACTTCCCTGAGAAGATAGGATTTGATGGGTCGTTATAGGCATCGAGATATTGTAACATTTTAAAATTTCATTTAAAAATGTTATTCTAATTGTGTGACATCCTGTATAAATTAGTATCAGATTGATTTACCATTTAATGATCGGCGCTAGCAATATGCTTAGAGAGGGAAATTTCTCCAGGTGGGGATCTGGCTGGCTCACAATTTTAGAATATTTTCATTAAAATTCATTTCTCATCTGATAACTTAAAATAACAGTTGAGTGCTTAGACTGCAAAATATAGTGGAAGCGAATGTAAGCAGTCTCTCACGTTATAATTTTCTTCTTCCTATCGAAAATGCACTGCTAAATAATCAACTTTAACACAAACTATGTTCAAATTATACAATAGGATATTTTAGAGCTGATGGAGATATTCCTAACTTCGAAGATCTTCAGATACCTACATAACGGTAATTAATTCACGAGGCTATTAAAGAACTATTGGTTATGGTATGATACGAGTTTTAACTTTATATTTGTTGGTACCAGCATGATAAAAATCATTATTTAGAAAATTTTAGTTTTTTTTTTTATTTTTGTAAAATAATTCATGTCGTATAATTAAATAAACAAATTCATTGATATGTTAAATCTTATTTTTTTAAGGTTACAACAATTCTCTTTTACTCAAATTAAATTTTATATAAGTTTTTATTAATTTATTTATTAGTTTATAATTCTCACTAGCTCTCTAAAAATAAAAAAAAGAGAATTAGTGGCGCCCCTCTCTCTCAGAAAACTAATATCCCAAAGGTGTCTATTAGAAAAGCCGAATTCACGACTGAGAAAATTATATGGTCAATGTGCTCATTTCTTTTGAAATTAACATTTTATTGCAATGTAACGCCTTTCTATTACAATATTTCCTTGCTGTATTAGCGACAGAAGAGGGCACAAAGGCACAATAGATCTTTTAGGTCGCAGAGTATTAACATCCCATTCGCAACATAACATAACAACTCTGTCAGGCCGAGAACTTTTCACCTTACCCTATACTGTCATGACTCTGTCATTTAACTTTTGATGCCATTATAATTTATTCGGAAATGCCTTAGAGTTGTGACGCCAATGGTGTTACCGATCTTTTTACCTCTGAGTAAAGTTACATGTAGGTTTACTTGACAGACTAACAGACTATCCGTATAGTTTAATCAGCAAGTAGTTTCAACTTTCAACTTTACTCAGAGGTGAAAAGATTGGCCCTGAGTTGTTTGTGAAATTTGTTTAGAAAGCCAAAGGTGCCACAACCCTAAAGCTTTAGGATATTGGAATGGTTTAACCTTATGGGAAGGTACCATTACAATACATATCAGAAAAACAGTGATCCGTACGCACATACTTTGATTACTATACGAGGCAAGAGAGAGGTCCGACACGCCCAACATAGGGCGCGGCCATTTTGAACCCTGTGACACAGTTTACAGCTAAAGAATCAGATCGCTCACACTGCGTCGGCACTTTTGATCTCAATGTTTCAGTTTATACACTGTGCAACTCGGATAATACAATATATGACAACCGCCTATAATAAAACAGCAGTCTTCTGCGTATCCTGAATTTGTATCCCTGGAGTGGATGTTATTTTGGAACTTTCAACTGGTCCTAGTGAGCTAACTGATTCTTTAGCAATAAACTGTGACTTCAAAAATAATATTCACTGACACTGACAGCAGCAAGCAAAATATCAGGTGCGTTTTAATCATCCGCTTCTGCTTCCGGAATTGTCGGTTTAGTCGTTTTAACCTGTCAGATTAAAACAAGAAAACCGACAATTTCGAAGCAGAAGCGGATGATTAAAACGCACCTATTAAAAATATTGCGCCAAGATATATGCAACACGTAATAAGGGTTCAAAATGGCGGAGTTTTCTATCTCCTTTTAAAAGGCACTCAGAAAGCTGCGCAGTGCGACCATTCTCCGTATAGTAAAAGTATGTGTCCGTACGTAACATTTGGTAACATCACGTTGTAAAGTTGTTCGGAAAAAGGTTAACCTTTTATCTATTATCTATTGCCACAGTTTAAACAAAGTACAGGTTTGTAATCATGATACAATATTTTCTTTCTTCAAGAAAAGAAAACTCAAGGTATTAACCACAATATATCAAAATTATAGTTTCGGTCAAATTTGACCATCACAAGACATAAAACGTAGTTACAAAAACGGCAAGAATGTCGTCTTATCCTTTTAAATTATCTATTAAATTAATAATGTTAATAAAGTTGGACGTGAATAATCTTAACAAATGTTGGCTTCTATTTACTAAATTATTTCGACATGTTTTTTTATGTTGTTATGTTCTTATGTTATGTTGACCATACCCAAAGCTCTCTTTGAGACAGGTATTTCCCTTTTACCTACATGTGTTTTGTTAATTTAAAGGGTACATATTAATATATACATATACATTTCGAATAAATATAAATAAAGATGGCACCCAATCACCAGCAGACAATCATGTTCTTGAATAACTATTTGCGGAACTGACGACCCAAATCCAATACTAATCATGGTAACTTTTATATTTTATTTTAGTTATTTGCTATAGCATTTTTCTTTATGCTATTCGTTCTTGGAATAGGAACTCTAGCAGCTCTTCATGGAAACTTGAACACTCTGGTCAAGGATTCATTCCCTAGTCTTCCGGACTGGATTATAGCTTTCATCACAGCAACTGGCTTATTTTTAATTGGTTTGATTTACGTTACACCAGTAAGTATTAGAAATACAATTGAAGCATTTCTAAATAAATTGAATATATTAACCAGTGGCGGCTGTTGCATAAGTGCTGTAGAGCTGCAGAATTGAAAAAAAAAATATGCAAGTATCTCATCTACATTTCACAAAAATTATTTTAAAATTTCTAAAATATATATAAAAATTTTTTGTGGATTATCTAATTAATTTTAATTCAGTTTTAATTATTAAAGAGTATACATAGCACGCTAATGTAACTTACTATCATTTCATAGCTGAGAATAAGGCCAAAACGGACCAGTGGAAGACTTAACAAAAGCTCATCAGGTCATATTCATCTCTTAGCTGGGTCGCTTCGGGACGGTTTGTGCACCGCTTGGCCGCCCGCGATCATCATTCCATCTATCCGCAGCTCTCTAAAAGAAACGCCAAAACACGTAGTGTTTAGGCTTTATTTTTGCCAGATCGCCGAGCTTCATTTATAGTTTGTCGCATATGATATGTGATTCGATTTTGGTTTTGTAAAATATTAGTTTGTGGTAATTCGCCAGCGCGCGTTTTAATTGTACAACTTTTAGGTTCGCTAATAAAAATTGCTTTTTTAAAAAATATCAAAAACTTTACAAAAAGCGGAATTTTATTTTAGGTCTTAATAATACAAAAGTTAAAATTTAAAAGCTAGGAAATGCCTGTAACGAACTAGTTTTGTTGCCGCTAGATCTTGGTGGGGCCTTATCTTGGACTTGTCGCGACTTGTGTTTCCTATGATTGTGTTATCATAACTTACATGAAAGGCATGAATTTAATTTATAAACTAATAAGAAAATATATTTTTTAAATACCCGTATGAGTATAAGTTTGCTGCTAAAAAGGATCGCAGAATAGAATTAATGTAATAAAAGTAGGTGAATAAAAACTGTAAAATAATAATTGCTTTTTTGGGGGGTGAGAAGGCAGAATCTTGCAGAACACCCAATGTCTTTAACCACAAGCCGCCTCTGACAGTTTCATCACTGAATTAAAATTAAAACACTTAATAGCAGACGTACATTTCTCTGAAAACGTCACCATCACTAGAATACGATTGTCAATAAAACCAATCTTTGTGAGATATATCTATGCCAATTTTACGATAGTATTTGAAAGACAAAGGATTAAATAAAAGACAATTTAAAAACGGCATAAAGTAAGAAAAAGTGCATAAAGTTTTACTTTTTTCACTAGTGCGTAAAGTAAAACTTTTTTACTCACTAGTGCGTAAATAAGACACATTTTTAGTATTTTAACATGAAAAATGACACATTTTATTTTAAGTTTTCTTTACGCGATCCTGCGTAAAGTAAAACAGTTTTCCTACGACCACTTAGGAAAGTGACACATATCACACTATATACTCCTATGGAAAGTGCCCTATATCACACGCGTATGAATAAGAATTTACTTTCCACCCGTGTGCGAATATGCTACTTTCCGCATCAGCTGTCACAAAATGTCAAACGCATCATTTCTATTTTGATCTATGTAATCTCCATATTAATACTAATATCGATATGATTGTTAAATTATTGAAATTGTTGTAAATTAGATCCTAGATATTTATCTCTAACAATTATTATTAAAATAATTTTAAAATAACTAAGTTATGTTTGCTTTTTATTCTGGTTAAACACCGATTAGATCATTCAATTGACGCAAAGCCTATTAGCTCAGGTGGTAGAGTATTAAACTTTATAAACTTTGCCATTTGAGACCTGGCGAGCGACCGCGTTCAAATCCTTGCGGGGCAGAACTTTTTTTTTATTTTAGTTTTTTTTTTTGTTCAGAAAATATGAAAATTGAATAAATACGATTACTGTTGATTATTTTTTTAAATACATTTTAATTATTATTATAATAACCTGGTTTTACATTTTTTGTTGGAATTATTTTGTGGTCGTAGGAAAAATATTGTACATCACTTGTGTGAAAAGTGATTTTTCATACTCGTGTGATAGTCGCACTCGGCTTGTGCCTCGTGCGACAATATTTCCCACTCGTGTGAAAAATGTCACTTTCCACACTCGTAATGTAGCTTTGTATTTCTAATGTTAGTGGGCAATATATACGGTAGTAGAAATATTGTATGCAATTCGTATGTAAAGGCCTTTTTTGAAGGCCACTTTATACGCTTATTATATGTATAAATCAACGGTATAAATAACTATTTTTTGTTATTTTAACCGAATTCAAAACATGAGGTATTTTTTTATGTATGTTCAGCGATAATTCTTTAACAAGGTGTCCAATTTCAATGATTCTTTTTTTGTTAAAAAGAGGACAGGTACTTCAGTGGTGGTCCCATATAAATTTGGTCAAAATGTAATAATTGGCTCCATGAGAAAATTCTCAAACTCTTTATTTTTTATGTATGTTTAGCGATAATGCTTTACCACCTTGTCCGATTTATATGATTCTTTATTGTTAGAAAGGGGGCCCCTCAGGGGTGGTCCCATATAAATTTGGTCAAAATCTAATAATTGGATCCATCAGAAAATCCTCAAATTCTTCATTTTTTATGTATGTTTAGCGATAATTATTTACCACCTTGACCGATTTCTATGATTCTTTTTTTGTTAGTAAGGGGGTACCTCAGGGGTGATCCCATATAAATTTGGTTAAGATATGGTAATGGCATCTGCACGATTTTGAAGTCGATTTTTTTTAATTTTTAATACTTGTATTATCAGTAGTTGACTGATGTAGTGATTACCAGGGCTGGTATATCTAAGGGGGTCGCGACATAGACCCAGTGAATGAATGAGGGGGTGACTGAGGCTAGGGGGGAAATAGTAGTCAGCTTAAGTTGGCAACACTTTTCTGATGTTCGTTTGGCGAAATCCGCGGTTATCGTTTGTCCTGCCGTAATAGTATTATAAAAACAGAGACAGATCTACTTTTAACGTGCATCGTGCATAATAATGTCAATATGGTACAAGTGGAATGAACCACTGTTTTCCTCGTAGTGGAATGTCGAATTAAAAATAAACACATTTTGTACTTTTTTATATACCAAATTATGCAATTTATTTCCACTTTATTTTAATGTTACATGAATAGGTACATGCATTTGTGCTGTGGTAAATAAGTGTTCATGTGAAAATTATCTCTGAAACTGCGTTGTGACTGCACTCATCTCAAAACTGAATGCTGTAAATCCAGGATTTAAATCTTCCATAGTGTTGCTTGGGATAAATTGTAAATAAGGTGTTGGACAAAACGTTTTCAACCTAAAATTGCATGGAAAACATCGTAGAAGAAGGAATTTTACCTTTATGACATTCTCTTTAAACATTTTTAAGTGACAAGTTTATGGTTTGGTAAATGAACTCAGTTCCAATAAGAATACAAAAGTTGAATATGAAAATGTAATTACTTGATTAAAATGTGATTTCATTAAGAGCTAAATAGATGTTTTATATAAACAAAGTAATGTAAAATGTTGATAAATGCAAAACTATTATTAAAGAGAAATTAGTTATAATCAATAGGTTATTAATAATTTATTAAATTAAAATATTTTATCCTAAAAAATATGGGCATTTTATAATGAAAATGTCATTTAAAAAAAGACATTGATCTTTTTCTTATATTGGTAAGCCTGGCGACTACAGGTTGCCAAGTTGCCAGATCAAAGGGCGACTACTATTTCGAAAAACATGGCGTCCAAAATGGACTCCTATGTCGCGACCCCCTTAGATATACCAGCCCTGGTGGTTACAAGCGCTGAAATCGTATGAATTCAGTTCGATGACATACGCTCAAGAAATTTTCAATAAAACAGTGGGTTTTCATTTAACAATAAAAAATAAATTGCGATTTATTGTTATTTTCGAAAAACCGGAAGTAAGATAAGACGTCACGGACCAGTTGAATCAATTATTTGACAGTATTTATTCCAAGCTTTCAAACAAAAAAGTTTTTATTCCTGTCTCAATTAATAAGGAAGATAAGAGGGGGTGGAATTATTAAACGGTTTGCTAATAAAAAAATCTTAGATACGCCACTAGTATACTGTAAATGAGTCTCAATGGGAACTGTGAAGCTTACGAAGATTTTATACATTCCCATATTATTTTTTTCCATAAACGAATTAACAGTAAAATATTAAAAAAATATATTATCCAATTTGACGGTCATTTTGACAGCTGGCAGAACATTTTCAACAAACAATTCTTATCCATAAATTTCCCTGAAATTCAAATTTTCAATAAAAAAAGGGGTTTCTATTTAAAAAGTAAAAATAAATTGCGATTTTCTGTTATTTCCGAAAAATGGAAGTAAGCCATGACGTCACAGACCAATTGAACCCAATATATGACAGTATTTGTTCTAAGCTTTTAAGAAAACAGTTTTCATTCCGATATCTCAATTAACAACGAAGATAAAAGCGAATGAAATCATTAAACGGTTTGCTAATAATAAAAATGCTTAGATACGCCATTGGTATACGGTAAATGGGTCTCAATAGGAATTTTGAAGCTTACAATGATTTTATAAAGATCATGCACTTCCATATTTTTTCCATAAATGAATTAATAGTAACATGTTTAGAAAAAATATTATCTAATATGACGGCCATTTTGACAGCTGCCAGAAAATTTTCGATATACGATTATTATACAAAAATGTCACAGAAATTTAGATTTACAATAAAAAAGTGGGTTTCAATTTAAAAATAAATTGCGATTTTCTCTTATTTCCGAAAAATCGAAAGTAAGCCATGACGTCACAGAATAATTGAATCCATCAAAGAAAAGTTTTTGTTCCAGTCTTTCAAACAAAAAAAATATTATTCCGATATCTTACTGAATAACTAAGATAAGGGGGGGGTGGAACTTTTAAGTGGCCCACCCTGTTTATTAGATATATATCAGACAAGTGTACCAAGCGTTAAAAGAATCTACCGGGTTGTTCACAAATTATGAATGAAGAAACAAATGCTTGGAATTGATAAAACAGACTGTATCTTGGTTATAAACGGCCAAATACCCATTAAACAGGGGTTATTTAGAATCACCTTGATCATGCATATCGCATTCTTCTTTTTTTTTAATGACAGTCTGGATTTTATTTAGAAATATGTGTACAGAGATTACTAACAATACTCATATATATGTCGGTCATGGCCAACTTTAGGAACATTTGTTTTTATTACAAGTAATTTCTATTTTTTTATAGGGTGGACTATATATATTGGACTTGGTAGATTATTTTGGTGGAACTTTTGTAATATTTGTATGTGCCATTTTGGAAGTTTTGGCTGTTTGCGGCCTCTATGGTAAGCTACAAAGTTATCAATAGAAATTCAATATTTTTAATCACATTAGCTTTTTTATTTTAAATTTTTGACTACCTAATGCAAAGATACTCAAATAATTTTTTAACAGACTTGAGTGGGTTACCAGGGTATTTTTTTGTCTCTCTATTTTTTGAAGCTTAATCCGTATGTCTAAAAATCTGCAATTTTTTTTTTTAGGTGTTGACAATTTATGTGCAGATTTGGAATTTATGACGAAAAAAAAAGTTAGCATTTACTGGAGAGTCTGCTGGAGTATATTTGTGCCAGTATTATTAATTGTAATATTCGTCTATTTTCTCGTTTCGCTGAAGCCCATGACTTACGGGATATATAACTTATATTATCCAGTTGGACTAAATGGTAAACAAAGACACGTAAAAATAAAATAATTATTTAAGTACTGATGGAAATGTTGGATTTATTTTGCGATATAAAACCGCAATCTAAATCATAAACTAGAAGTCAATAATTATTTTTTTTTTTTTTAGTATTTGGTTGGGGAATATTATCAGGAACAGTGATTCAAATAATAGGATGGTTAATTTATTATCTTTACGCCAACCGGAACTACCCCTGTAGCAAGGTAAGAAAAAGTATTATGAGGTCAAAACTAGGTCGGTTGTTAGTTGTTAGACCTATACCTAGCCGTGTAGGTATTCAAAACACCCATCACATGTAGGTTTTATTAATTATCAAGTCAAATAATTATTTAGTTACCAAGTAACAATATTTAATATTTCAAAGGATTTCACTAAATTTGTACTAAGCAGACAAAATAAAAGCAATAAGTTCAAAGGTACTCCTCAGATATTTGGCTGGCCTATACTTAATTTCTTTAATCATAAATAAAAAAAACTTTAAATTAAAGTTCAGAGGTACTCCTCCTCAAATATTTAACTGACCTCTACTTAACTTTTTTTTGATAACAAAAGCAAAAGCTTTAAATTGACATGTACTTAACTTACTAATAATAATAATAATAATAATAATAATAATGAGTTTATTCAATACCAAAAAATATTTACATGTAAAATTACAATATTATGCTGAATAAACTACGACTAATCACAGAAGCGTCAACCCAGAAGAGGCTCAGCTGGTATTGTGATATACTTATTTAGTAAGTTCATACATTTGTATCCTTAATATTAATCTTAATTACTATAATAATTTCTATTATCATTCGAGAACTAAAAGATTACAATGAAATTTCAGAATTAAGTGAGTTGTCAAAATCAGGAATAGTTCATAATTATATGAGTTGTCATAATCGGGTGTATTGTCATAATCGGGTGTATTGTCATATTCGGGTGTATTGTTATAATCGGGAATATTGTTCTAATCATGTTGTCGTAATTTTATGTAATGTAATTAGGTATAGCGTCAAATTCAAGTCTATTATTTTATATTATATTATTTAGCTATATTATATTATTAACACATTTTATATTATTTACATATTTGAATTTACAAACTTATGAAATATTGTTCTGTCACTTTCCCCTATCCATTTTTTAATTTTTAGTTTAAAGTGTTTGTATTGTTGTATATTTTTTATAAAATCGGGAATTATTGAAAATATTCTAGGTGCTAGATAGGAACAGCATTTTTGACCTGCAGTTTTTTCGCATCTTGGTGTAATATATGCTCTTCTCTTAATTCTCGTTTCGTACTTGTGAGAAATGGGTTCTATTTTAATTTTTTTTTGTTTAGTAAATAATAATATTTTTAAACAAAAAATCTGCCGAATATCTAATAGCCCCGATAATTTAAATAGGGAGTTTGTGGAGTAAGTACGACTTTTCCCATATATTATTTTTATTAACCATTTTTGAATAATGTCTACTTTTTGTAGGTAAAAGTTACTTACTCCGCCCCATCCTATTATTCCATAACTCAACTGCGATTGAATTAATCCATAATAGAGCGTCTTTAGGTGAACTTCAGTTAACAATTTTTTAAGGTGTCTAAATTTCCCTAACATGCCTCTTAATTTTTGTACAACCGATTTAATATGAAGGTCCCATCTTAGATGTCTATCAACTATGATTATTTTCATATGATGTAAATGGTAAATAGTGTGTTTTTTCAATATTTAGTGTGAGAAGGTTATGTTGGAACCACAATTGTATTTTCTTAAAATCCTTTTCAGTTTGACTTTTTAAATCATTCCAATTCGAGTCCTCGTAAAGAATGGCAGTATCGTCCGCAAAACTCATAATTTTTCCTGTGGTATTGCTGATGCTAACTTTGTTACTAAATAAAAACAGTAGAGAAGTTCAGAGGTACTCCTCATGGAATAACCTGACCTGTACTTGACTTTCTGGTGACATGAATACATCGTTAAGTTCAGAGATATTCCTCAGGGATTAACCTGACCTGTACTTGACTTTCTGGTAAAATGAAAACAACATTAAGTTCAGAGGTACTTCTTAACCTGACCTGTACTTAACTTTCCGAATGGTAGAATTAACAGTTAATCGTAATTTGGAAAGAGCCCTCGTCCATTCTGACAAATTTTCTCAGTAGCGCCCCTGCTATAATTTAATGACGTTTAATATTTATATTTACGAATAAGGATTTTTTTATCGGTAAAATTTGTTCCACGGTTAATTATACTCCCTACCCTTTGTGGACACCTTGTATAATACGTGCCAAACATCGTTATATAATTCTCTAATGTTTTAGTCATTTTTGCTCTGCTTAAAGTTTTTTTAAAGGGTATAGAATTACATATTTCTTAAAAGCATTGACTATAAATAAAGTGTGTTTAAAACCATCTGTGGTTATTTGTTATTTTAAACCACGACTCAAGACAATCAATAGAAATTGTATGAAAGAGAATATTCATTTTCTCTTCTCGTTGCCGACAAACAGTACGTGTGATAATTAAAGACTTAATAGGTAATTACCTCTTTTAAAAGAAGAACTCGGGGGATAGTTAGCGTGTGCTAGCAATTAAAACTTCGGGTTCAATCGTGTTTAATTTTGATGCATCTTTGATATTGTTTTGTTCTTGTTTTCGACGATTAAATACTTGTTGGTTAACTTAAGGAGTTCTTTGTTGAACTCGAGGATAATAAGAACCCTCACAATTTTCATTAACTCTTTCGAGAAGGCACTTGTCTAATAGTGATCCAAAAATGTTCTTTTTAGTATAGTCTGGGGAGACTGACGTCAGATATTTCCGACAGAACAAAACAAACGTACATTGTGTGATAACATAATTAAAAGAAACTGCATATTGCATTAAAAACGTATTGCAAATAATAGTAATGAAAAACATGTGTGCATCGTAGATTCCTCATGTCTTTACGCTCCGTCGGGATTACTCCAACATTCGTCTCTGAGCCGAAGTACACCGACGGCAGTTTAAGATCTTTTAGGGCCACGATAATGTTTAAGGCCCAATTCCACCGCTAGTTGTTAAGAAATAAACCAGGTATAAAATGACATTTTTACATTAACAATGTAATTATAATCTTCGTTTAGTAATTAAAACTTCGTTTAACAAAACGGTGGATCGGCCCTAAAACAGTATGATGTAACCAGAGAATGAAACCGTTAACCGTTTCTTAAGCAATATATAAGTATGTCGGATATATCCGTCTACGAGTCAAATAATGGAAAAATGGATGTTTCCGACATCAGTTGCGAAAGGGTTAAATAGTAATATAGTAATAAGAAGACTGTCTAGAACAATGAAGTAGGTAAGGTAGAATGCCTGTCAATAGGATTGAGATGAATTATTGATCATGGCGCAGTAATTTTTTTTTTTTTCATCTCACTCGGGAATAATTATAGTAACAATTTTCTATTTTACCCTAAACAGTCCTGATCCACCAGATTGTGGTCCAAACAGTAATAATGTGAAACAAAAAGGAAGTACAGAAACAGATAGCACAAAGTCGTCTTAAAGACGTCTTTAAGGCGTCTAGCATAAGACATTCGAGACATTTTTAAGACGTCTGGTATTTCCTGAAAGACGTCTTTAAGACGTCTTAGAAGACGTCTAATGTTACAAAAAGCGACGTCTTTAAGACGTCTTATTAATGGCTTATATTGGTCTGTAGAGCTTAAAATAAGCCAATAAGACGTCTTTAAGACGACTTATTAATAGCTTGTAATGGTCTTGTGAAGCCTTAAATAAGACATCAATAAGACGTCTTTAAGACGGCTCATTAATAGCTTATAATGGTCTTATGAAGCCTTAAATAAGCCGTAAATAAGACGGCTTTAAGACGTCTCATAAATGGCTTATAATGATCTTGTGAAGCTTTAAATAAGCCATAAATAAGACGACTTATTAATAGCTTATAATGGTCTTATGAAGCCATAAATTATACGTCTTTAATATGTTTTATTAATGGCTTATAATGGTCTGGTTAAACTTAAATAAGCCATAAATAGCACGTTCATTATTTTTATTCTGCTAATTCTATAACCTGTTTATAATAATATAAAATAATTTTAAAATGGATATCATCGTGTATCTTGGTTATTAAAATTAGTAGAATAACCTTGCAGCTTATAAAGAATGCAAAAAATAGAATTAAAAATATTTAGTGATAAAATATCTATTAATCACAGGTCACTAAGAGTTATTTTCTTTGTAGCGCATTCGATCACTCCTCTTTTAGCCATAACTGGATTGATTTTTTTCTTTCTTTTTGATTTGAAGTTGCCTTTGTATAGTCGCTCCTAAAAAGAAATTTAGCATTATAGTCACAGAAAGTTATACTTTGTAAAAGTTAGTAAAAACCGAAAGAACAAAATTATGAAACAAAACAAAAAATTAATTTCTTACAATTTTAAATCAATTTTTATAACAAATCATTTAAGACAAGACGAGCTATTATACTTAATCGCCTATTTTGACAATTTTACTTTAACTTCACTCAAAATGACTAACATGTGGCTTTTGATATCAAATAGTTCTCGAAATCTCCATAAAATTAAAAAAAAAGGAAATTGACGAATAACTTAATTAAATCTTATATCAAGATATTTACTTTTTAATTCATTTAATTATTCTTATTTAGAAGAAACATGATATTAATGTTCTATGTATATAAACAAATATTCATTTATTACCTGTAAAAAGTATTCCAGGAACGTGATACATCGGTAACAGAAACTCCACTATTCTTCCTTCTCTGGTTTTAGTCACATATTATTTAAGTAAAAAGAGACCAAACACAAATGCACAAAGTAGCCCAAAGAAACTTTTGGCGGCTATAATCGCGTACGCAATAGAATAATCAATAATTCACAATAAGCTTGGGCTTGAATGTAGTGTTAAGTCAAACGTCAAACTCCACTTCATTTGATTCTTCTTTTAAATTTGAATTATGTAAACCATGCAAGTTTCCGTCCGACTGAAAGACGTTTGTAAGACGTCTTTAAGCTTTCACATTAATATATGGATTTGGAAAGACGTCTTAAAAACGACTTTGAGCTCTCACATCAATACGTCATAGATGTCTTATAAGACGTCTTAATAACGTCCTAGGACATTCAGACCAAATCAAGACACAAAAAAGACGTCTTTCAGACGTCGTGTGCTATCTGGGAAGGTGTATATCAATATTGTATGATCGTCTATTCAGTGATTTTTATCGAGATAGAAATGCGTTATTTTAAGGTGTTTTAATACTTATACCTGTTGAACTGTCAATTTATGTATCATTGATAAAAATAACAGAAGTGCCATGTGGAGCAGGCGGACAGAACAGCTCCATCGGGGTGGTAGAAGCCCACCAAATGACCACTTTCAGAAATAGGGCATCTAGTAATGCCTCGGCGACGTTATTAACCTACAGGACTCTGACGAACTGAGAGGATGGCTATCTCTAATCTATCCTCGGCCAGTTGTCAACCAGCAGGCTTCTGACGAGCAGAAAGGCAGATCCTATTTGCCCCAGGAGTATGTGTAATGGGCCTAGTGAGATCTAAGTACTGTAGGGCAACTCACCTTCCCCCTCCTTACAGATACAGAAAAATAGCCTAGCGCAAATGGCACGTTTGAAGTAAAAATTGTGAATGGAGCCGCACACAACTGTTACTTTTTCGTAGTATTTTGAGTAATTGCCAATTTTGTAAACAAACGCGTGTTTCCAGTAGTTGTCCCAGAAAACAATATTTTTATTTTATTAAGATTTTATTTAAATAAACACTTTTACAAAATCTAAAAAATCATCGCCCCATTTTTAATGTTTTAAAATATAAATTACATAGGAATTCAATTTCAGATAATTCCAAAGACCTTTTCGACGAAAACTTGGGGACCTGATGGTAAAGTCAAAACAGAAGAGTGGAAAAAATTCAAAGAGGATAGATTAAACGAAACAAAAGCCAGAGGTGGTTCGTGGATAACGAAAAAGTTGAACGTGCTAATAGGAAGGTGAAATATATAACTTAGAATAAGTATAACAAATGACTGTGTATATATGTACAATAACCGTAAAACTAACTGTGCCTAGAAAAATCAAGTACTTAATTCTGAAAAGGTACTGCTAAACGAATATGTAAATTATTGTTACATAATGAAAAATATGTAAAAAAGTGTAATTAAATATTTTCTTATAAATTTTGTAAAACCTTTAATCTCCCACAAACCGGCGTCAGGATACGATGAATTGGATCAAAATATGCACATGCCATTTTGCTTTTAGCTCTAATCTTTAATGGAAATAAAAAGGTAAATATTTTTGATCAATCAAATAAAATTAGCCGTCTCTGTTGAAGTTATATTTTTTTCGGCTAGGACACTTGCCATTCAGCCTGTCGTGAAATATATGAATGCTGATTTATATTACATTCTTATAATACATCAATCATACATGCTATATACTAGTTCTAAATAAAAGAATATTATAAAGGAGGATGAGGTAAGTCAATAAATAAAGGAAAACAATTTTCTTGTCCAAGACCATATGCAGACATTTTTTACACATTGCACAAAACTACGATGAAGTAGTTATATTACAATTAATTATTGGCACACAATATTCAATCTGAGATTATAAAATTTCAAGACATAGGCACTTCATTCAGCATATTAGGTGAGAAAGTTTTAGAATATCTCATGGGGGCAAGCACCACTCAAAATGGACTAGATACCCCACTGAATATTGAAAATTATATTATGATTTTTGAAATATAGATCATTAAAAAAATCAGGGAAATTTCGCAAATTAATGTGATTAACAATAATAATTATTATTTTCTTTATTTGGCTAATTTGCTAATATCACAATATAGAAGTTAGTAAAAAAAAATCAAAATAAATAATATAGATCACTTATTAAAATTAATTATTTTAGAGGTTGTTACCTACCCTTTTTGAAGAAATAAATAATCTGTGACTTAGATTTTAAGTATAGTTACAGAAGTACTGAATAGATTTCATTTTCAGTGGCGGTTTCTGAAATTAGTTTATATCAAGCATACATATCAATAGCATAGGTTGCAGGTTAGTTGTCAGAAGTGCATGTTAGTAAAATATTAGTATATTTAGCAAGTTTTAAATATTTTCGAGGCTCTGCCTAAAGTAGAAAGAATTACTGAGTTCATTTACCACAATACTGCGAAAAAGATGCCAAACGGTGAAGGTGTAAGAGAATTGTTGGGACAATGATGAGCTTATGTCCTAAATAATGTCCTAACCAACCTGGGTTTTGTTTGATACCTTGCTTTAGAAATTTTCATAGTTGAAGATTTTTAGATAGATACCCTGTTACCAAAGAATTTTTTTCTTTTAGTTTTTAATATTTTGGTTTCAGCAGTATTACCAGAGAATGTCTGGTTTAATTTTTAATTTGTTGTTACCAATAATAGTGTTTAACTTTATTATTATAAAGATAAAATATAAAATTATAAATTTGCATAAAAGTTTTGATTATTTTTATTAATAAAACAAGACCGCGTCGTGGGCATGCTGGAGGCCATTTTTTATACCTATTTCCATCCAAAAAGAAAATTATTTAAAACATTTGTATTTTTAAAATAAAAGTATGGTGGAAACCGCACTTTTGCAAGCTTAGGAGAGCTAAGGGGTGTGTTTAAAAAAAAAATAGTTTCAGTTTCTTTATAAAAGTTTTTGTTCTGCATTGGATAACTGTACACATTAGTGGAAATTAAACTTCTCTTTTAGATACATTGGAAGTAACTTGTTTAATTCTATGAATAAAAATAAATACATTCCGTAAGAAACTTTTGATTGGCATCTACCTCATATTTCTAATAAAAAAACATCCTATTTATTTTACATAAAATGAGAAAAATAAAATAATAATTGACCTAACCTGTGCAGCCTGAAGTCATCGCGGTTGCTTCGCAAAAAAAGTATACATAAAATGAAAAGAAAAACAACTAATTTACTAATTTCGTAATACAACTCTTTTGATTTTATACCATTTCGATCAAATATCATTTCGATCATTAGTATTTCTGTATCTATAACGTATGGGTTGCCCTCAAGGTACTTTAGGCCTTACTAAGCCCATTGTGCATCCTCCTAAGATGATAGGCACCTCCTAGCTCGTGAGCCAGCCTACAGATTTAATGTATTTGACGTCGCCAAGAGGTGCTTCACTTATGTCGGCCGATGTTAGCCGATACTCGCCGAACACAAATCTTCTAATAAATGAGAGCGCCGGACAATCGAAGTGGATATGCTCGATGGTCTCATCTTCTTGTTCGCAAACCCTGCAGACTACGGATTTTGACAGCTCCATGATATATATGGAAGATATATCTTGGTGAGATATAGCCCATGTTCGCTTGAAGCAGTGAGAGTGTATCGAGAGGAGCGCCTCCTGTCAAAAGCGACGTCTCGCCTTACCAGATTCTACATCAGGTTCTATTCCAACCGTGCGGATGCGTGTTATTGTCATGAGCAACCTCCTTGATGTAAATATCAAGGGGAGTAAGACTAAGAATGACTTCCATGACTCTGGTCGGTGTGGTTTTCATGTTGAGAGATGGTGTTCTTTAAATTTGTTTTAGTTTGCGGATAGCTGTCTATTTTTGGGTTTTCGGCACCCAGACAGCGACACCTTATATTAGTATAGGTCTTATGATGGCCGTGTAAGTCCATACGACGTTTATCATTAGTAGTTTTAAACATTTTGAAAATTTGTACTTTCAATCATAAGCGATTTCGATCATTTTTTCTAATTTCGATCTTTTCTCACTTTCAACCTATTTAATTTTTCGAAATTTTATCATTCGATCTTGTATTTTCGAAGTTTTGTCATTTAAACTTTTATTTTCGAATTTTTATAGTTCGAACTATTGTTATTCGAAATTTTTCTAAATCGAACGTTTGTAATTAGAACTCATGTCACTAAATCTTAATCAATTCTAAACTGGCAAGATCTGATAACATTTCGATGTCAGACCACCGCTGGTAAACATTCAAAATAAACTTGATGTTGCCGACCTCCACGCTATCTCGGAACCCTAGGAAGACGGACAGGGCAACCTATGCCTACCTTCTCCAAGAGGATCTGAGAGAGATGGAGGCCGAAACACCAAACAATAATACTGCTTTGGAAAAGTACACGAACACTATCCAAAGCACAATAAACAATGCCTATAAGAAACCCTGTCCTCTGAGGCTAGTCCAACACGATCAGACGACTACCGCATGGTGGTGTCAAGAGTTGGATCACGTCAGGAAGGTGGCTAGGAAATCTTTTAATAAAGCAAGAACCACAAAACTCAAAGATAACTGAGATACGTAGAAATCTCACCTCAGAGAATACAAAAAAAATCGTCAGACAAAAACAGACAGGTGCATGATCCTACTGCGAAGAAATCGAAGATTTCCTGCAGGTAGCGAGGCTTTAAAAAGCTCTTTCATAAGATCCACACCGAAGCATTGGTGTACTAATCAAAGAGGATGACGAAAACTGCCAACCCCGAAGATAGCATCAAACTTCTGCTGTCAACACACTTCCCTGACTCGGTCATCACACAGAGGAAGAATACAATCCATCTGTCTAAGAGAATACAAAAAAAATCGTCAGATAAAAACAGACAGATGCATGGAGATCCTACTGCGAAGAAATCAAAGATTTCCCGCAGGCAACGAGGCTTCAAAAATCTCTCTCAAAAGATCCACACCGAAGCATTGGTGTACTAATCAAAGAGGATGGCACGAAAACTGCTAACCTCGAAGATAGCATCAAACTTCTGCTGTCAACACACTTCCCTGGCTCGGTCATCACAGACGTGGTGGATTGGGCAGAGGAAGAATACAATCCATCTGTCTATGATTGGCAAACTGCCAAACACATTGTAGACGAGACGAAAAAATTAGATGGGCAATATTCAGCTTCTCTCCATTTAAATCGTCAGGATCTGACGGTATCTATCCAGCCCTACTTCAGTGGGGTCTGGAAGAACGCACACCGCACCTGGTGGGTATATTCAGATCCTCGTTGGTTCTGAGGTATATCCCCAAAAAATGGAGAGAGGTAAAAGGGGTATTTATGCCCAAACCTGGAAGGATGGATTACACTGTCCCAAAAACATATCGACCAATTAGTCTGACATCGTTTTACATGAAGACATTGGAAAGGCTATGCAAAAGGTACATAAAGGATGCGGTGATTACAACACCACTACACCCAAACCAAAACATGCATACACCCCAGGCAAATCTACTGATTTAGCCCTTCATCTAGTTGCTGGCCGGGTAGAAAGATCTCTGGACAATAAGGAGTCCGCCTTGAGTGTTTTCATAGACATAGAAGGTGCTTTTGATAAAACCACCTTCCCAAGGATAATACACTCACTAACCAACAGGAATGTTCCACAAATGGTTAGTGAGTGGATACATAACATGCTCTCAAAGCGAGCAGTAACCATAAGTGTGGAATTTGTGAATATAAGATGTTTGGTTGCGAGGGGATGTCCACAGGGAAGGGTGATATCACCTCTACTGTGGAATATGGTCTTCGGCACCCTCATCAGCCGCCTCAATAATGACAGTCACTACACAATAGCATATGCGCAGATGACCTGGTCATTTTGCAAACAGATAATTTTGAGAACATACTCTGCGAAAGAATGCAAGTAGCTTTAAAAATTATCGAACAGTAGTGCAAGGACCATTCACTGTCTATCAATCCTAAGAAGGCAAAAATGGTCCTTTTCACAAGGAAAAGGATGAAAATGGAATTAAAACCTCCAGAACTCCTAAATACAAAACTAAACTTTGCAACAGAGGTAAAGTACCTAGGTCTCATCTTTGACAGCAAGTTAATATGGAACTCGCATTTAGAAAACAGAGTTAAAAGAGCATACATTGCTCATGAACAGTGCCGCCGAACCGTGGGGCACACCTGGGGTTTCTCCCCCAGAGTCGTCGCATGGACTTACACGGCTATCATAAGACCTATGCTAACATACGGTGCAGTTGTCTGGGTACCGAAAACCCAAAAATGAACAGCTATCCGTAAACTAGGACAAATTCAAAGAACAGCATGTCTCAACATAACAGGAGCCATGAAAACAGCACCGACCAGAGCCATGGAAGTCATTCTTAGTCTCACTCCCCTTGATATTTACATCAAGGAGGTTGTTCTGACGACAATGACGTCATTGTCGTGCGGAGGCGTGTACACGCCTTCGCACGGTTGGAATAGAATCTGATGTAGGATCTTGTGAGACGAGGCGTCGCTTTTGACAGGTGCTCCATTCGTTTCCACTACTTCAAGCGAACATGGACTCCATCTCACCGAGATATATCTTCCATAAGCCATATAAAGTTATAATAGAACAAATAAAAGAGCCAGAAGTGGCAGGTACGATTCATATCCACACCGACGGTTCTAAAACAAAACAAGGCTCAGGATGTACAATATACTCCAGATTCTCAAACCTAAACATAAAATATGGGCCGTGAGCAATAATGCCAGTGTAGTTCAAACAGAGCTAACGGGGCTTCTCATAGCAGCAAAATAAATAACCAGAAACAATATCACTGGAAGGAACATGCTCATCTATACATATAGCAAACAAGCACTACTCACCCTCAACAGACCACGAATTTACTCAGCGTTAGTACTAGAATGTCACGAAGCTTTGGCCAAAGTATCCATCAACAATGTGGTCACCTTAAGATGGATCAAAGGTCACGTCACATCGAAAGGTAACCATCTTGCTGATTCACTAGGCAATAAAGCAGCCAACCAAACTTTTTGGACCTGGCCCTTCTATTGGATTGACAAAATCGGTAGTGACTGATCTAATCAGAGAATATTCCCTGTGAAATTCAAGGAAAGATAGGATGAAACAAGAAACTGCAGAGTTGCCAGGGAGCTCTTAAGTTATCCTAACAACACTGCAGCAAACAAATACTTGACTATGACTAGACATAATCTGCGCCTAGTCACAGGCATTCTGACTGGTAATTGCCAAGTACGAAAGCATCTCCATATCATGGGGCTATCAGAATCCGCACTCTGCAGAGGGTGCGAACAAGAAGATGAGACCATCGAGCATATCCTTTACGATTGCTCGATGCTCTCATTTATTAAAAGCTTTGTGTTCGGCTAACACCGGCCGATATAAGAGAAGCACCTCTTGGCGACGTTGTCAACTACATTAAACCTGTATGCTGGCTCACGAGCTAGGAGGTGCCTATCATCTCAGGAGGATGCACAATGAGGCCTAAGTGCCGTAAGGTAACTCACCCTTCACACGTTACAGATACCAACTCAAAGTTTCAAGCATATTAATGAAAAATATATTTTGAAAAAGATATTCATTCATTAAAAGGGGTATTGTATTATAGAACAATAATTTAAAGTGAGACACTGAGGTTGAAATATTTTAAAAGTCCAGTTAAAAATGTTATTTTAAATATGTGCCATCCTGTATAAATAGTTTTCGATTAAATTAAATTAAATTATCGCCGCACGCAATATTCCAAAGAAAGGGAAATTTCTTGAAGTGGGAGTACAGTAAACCAAACGATTTCGCCATTAGATTTTTAAATTTCATTTACGATTACTCTCTCTTCATATCTGGTGGTGTTTGGCTGTAAAAGTGGTAAGCATTCAAAAAGGTATAATGTCATTGTAAAATATCTCGGTATAAATAATATTCCAACCTATTGTTAGTTATTAGTTTTTTGAAAGTAAAGTTAAATTTTTCTAAATATATTTTTATAATTCATTCTGGTTGCTGGAACGGCACAATGTTTATAGTAATTAGTTTTTATTGTATCTTGATTCAATTTTAAAAAGTAGATGTTTCAAATTTAATTTATATCTCGTACAAGAGCCACTTGAAAAACAGAATCTATTTTTGTTTAGAAAACGAATAAGTGCAGCTGAAAACTAAACGCTGGAAAATTAATTGATGAAAACTAACTGGTAAAAGCCGACAGTTAAAATTCACAAAAAGTTTCAAGGAAGAACAAAGAACGAGGTATGCTGTTCATGTTCGAGTAACCGAAATATGGGAAATGCGAGACTTGGCGTTGGTTCCTGAGTCGTAGAAATTTCAACTACCTATTAAGGAAGTTGTCAGTAAAAAGCAAAAGTGGTAACTAATAGTGGCTAATTTTATGTATGACGAGATAAAAGATTAATACCTGATAAACTTTAAATGACTTGTTCCTGAACAGTTTCTTTTTTTATCTAAATAAATTAATTCATTTTTATAAGTATATATGTTGAATATTATCTTAAAGGTTACAACAATTCTCTTTTACTTAAATTAAATTTTGTCTAAGTTTTTATTAACTTCTTTTTTTGATAAAGCTAGAGTTTATAATTGTCACTAGCTTTCAAAAATAAAAAAAGAGAATTATTGGTGCCCAACATTTCCTAGAAAATTATTACCCCAAAGGTGTCTAATAGAAAAGCCGAATTCACGACTGAGAAAAATATGGTCAATGTGCTCATTTATTTCTGTTAATTTTTAAAGGTAAGTAATGTTTGATATTAAATTTCACTGAGCTCTAGTAAAAATTTCTTATAAGTGTTTAGAAATTAACATTTTATCACAAGGCAACGTAATATATTGCAAATTGGCACTGCAACGGGTCAATGCAATATTGAAAGGTACAATGATGTTATAACGGGCGAGACCTTTAAGTTGGCACACCCACAAATATCTTATGTATTTTTTATATTTTAAATGTGAAGATGTATTGACATGTAAAAAATAGTTTTTTTGACTAAATAAACGATTAATATACAACAAAGCATCATATAAAAAATGTTTGATATTTGACATTGAGGGGGGCAACAGAGATGTTAGTCTGCATTTTTACGGACTTTTCAATGTCAACTTTGTTTTTCAAATAAAACCTGTGAAATACACTTAAGAAATGTTTCAGATAAAACTTACTTATTTTTAGCGTGGAGTAACATACTAAAATATGGGTATTTTTATTTGAAAAAAAAAAAACAAGGTTGACATTGAAAATGTAGATTCAGCCAAACATCACTAAGACTAGTCGTTTGTTGCATCAATGCCAAATAACATTTGTTTGAAACATTTTTTTTATGTAACACTTTGATGTTGCAATATTTGGGTGTGCCAACGTAAATGCCTCACCCTGTCTATTGATATGGAAATGTTTACTGTTTGCAAATTTCCAATCAAAATAAACTAATGAAACTAATGAAAATTTTAATAATAGGAATAGCAAATAATGTCTTCTTTTTTTCTTTCTTGGTATCCTCCTTTCCTGCCGATTCCCGTGGGATCTCCTCCACTTGTACACATTTATCTGCTAGCTGGTTTTTACATGTATATTTTCCCCTCTTTTCTTTATTAATTTCACAAATTAAATGCACTTTACCTTACAAAATAGATTTGTATATTTAAAATATTCTTTTGTAACTTTTCTTATCGATAATTACAACTATGTAATTTCTTTTTTATTGGTCCTTTGTGTATTATAAACTATCACCACCCACATCATTCAATTTTGATAACTTAATCCTCTGACGTCATTTTACACGAAATTTCCATATCAATGTAAAGAGCGATCCACAAATCCACTAATGATGAATAAGACTTTGTTGGTAATGGCCTACTTTAGAAACATTTTTAGTGGATCACTCTTTATATTACATTTAATCCACTGTGATAAGCCAAATGAACTTCTAAATAGGAAATTTAACTTAAACGCAATAGTTTTAATAACAATGTTCAGGTGGTATGTTAATCGGTTTGTCAATCATTGCCTCTAAACTCCTAATTACATAGAATTTCCTCCAATTGTGATGTTATACCGTGTATCCACAAACTATGTATAGTAATTACTTATCAGCACATATTTTGTTACATTTGTGTTGATTTTAAACAAATTATTACATCACATAAGTATTTTGCATTGATTCATTTAACAACTCTTACTAAGTTTAAATTGCCTATAATTTGTGATTTTTCTAGATATAAAATAAAAAACTTGCTTCTAATTTATTTCCAACATTTATTAAAAAATATAAATCAACAACTATATTTTACCTTTTACATTTTCTAAAGCTTTTTCATGAACATCTATATCACTTTTGGTCACAGAATACATAGTATATGCCTTATTCATTAGCTCGTGAATCCCATGGAAACAGTTAATCTTAATAGCGTTATCCTTGTACTCTAAATATTTCCTAACAAAAAATTTATTTAACTGGGTAATATCGGGATGATTTAAAAAATCTTTAATGTCGATCCATTTGGCTTCAGCAATTTCACGTTCACACTTTATGATGTTGTCTGTAAGCGCTTTAAGATGTACCACCATATAAATGTCAGAACAGTTGTAAGCAGAACCGTGAGTGTGCCTGAGTGTTAAAACAGATTGAAATTCTGTCCTAATGTTCGTTTCTTCATGAACTTCTCTTATTGCAGCATCGACTATATTTTCACCTAAAATAATATTATCTGTGGTAATTCATAAAAAGAATTTATATTTATCACTAATTATCAGTTTGCTATGTATTGAATATACAAATTAGGTAAAAATCAAAGGATAAAAATTTAAGTGTACCGACAGCATTCTAAGCAAGCGATTCGCCATTTTCTCCGGATGCAAACCAGCAGCCGCGCGTTTGTCAAATCGGTGCATATACACCAGATTTCGAAGCGAACTAAGCCTCACTCACAAAGATCAAAGAATTTCTTATCGAGTGCGTCTGCTGGTCCTTAAGCTTTGGTAAAATGCAAGGGCAAAAATATTATTCTAACAAAAAATCTACTTGGAACATACCAGGTTCAACATACCCTCCAGGTAATTTGTAATGAACTACATTCCTAATATTATGTTTTTCACGAACAATCAGCAATTCATTTCTATCATTTATAACTACTGCTCCAACTCCTAACATTGTGTGAGCAAATGGTGGAATATTGGAATTTTCTGTTTTTGGTAACCATTTATACATCAAAATATATTCTTCTTTGGCATGATGATATTTGAACCCATTCTATAATAAAGATCGAACAAAAATAATCAAATCAAAATAAAAACCTAATCTATACTCAGATTTGCAATAATATTATAAAGTATAAATTAGTGACACAACTGCTCAGAAACTTCATGAGATAATAATGAATACTTTAATTGCTCCCAACTTTTTAGTTTCAGGGCTTTATTTTCAAATTTTGAAATATAAAAAGGTCTCAAAGTGGGTTGCATAAAAGAAGATTAAATTTTAAATCCAGAATAATACATTTTATCTATGAATATTTATTATCTCTAGACTAGAAAATTATATGATTTGTGTGATCAAACCAAATTTTAATTCTTTTATTCATCAAAATAGTTGTCATTTATTTTGTTGTCATTAACAATTCTATTGTAATTATTGGATTGGCGTTTAACTTTAAAAAGTGCGAAATGAATGTAGTAAGTGTGAAAAGTGCAAGAAGTTTACTGAATTGGACAAGCTAAGTTTACTAAATATTATCAAAATCCTCCAAATTTTCCTGAAATAAATAGATAAAATTTGAAAGGACTAGAATTATTTGAAAAGTTTATTTTCTGAATCATTTTGTATGAAAAAAAAAAATACAATAAATATAGGACCTTTTTCTTTTCTACCTTTTAAATTTTAAATATTTATATCTTTAAAAAACACTTCCTTTTTCGAATCCATGTATTAATTGACCTTGCAGATCATTTCACATCAGGCATTTCTTCCGAAAATCGTTTATGTAACGATTTCATTGTTACATGTTGCTCACCTTCGTACATCTTACATATAACTTGCCTCAACTTAGTTAATATTGAAGAATTGACTTTTGTTTTACTTTGGCTTACTTTTTTTAGACATTTCTGTATCAAAATTTGTTGGTTTACTAAGTCTATAGACAGTTTTCTGCGAAATATTCAATGCCTCTGCAGCCACTTGATTGTACCTCTTTCCAAGAGCCTCGAAAATAGATTTGTGCCTCTTAAAATCGGAAACTACGTTCAGGATTAAAGTTTTTGATTGATCACTAAATCGCTTCACCATTTTGGTGAATACTTATAAAAACTTTTGAAACATCAAAACATACAAATTTTTAACAAATTGACAAATTCAAAATTATTTTGATAACAGCCACCTAACATAATAACATGATGTAATATCTACGACGTGCATAAATCTCGTAACTTTTTGTTTCATCCATTTTACATTTAAACAATAAAGCGAATGGACTTGGGGTATTTCCAAGACTTTTATACCATTGTACTATACATTTTTAATCTGATGATGCCCTAAGGCAGAATCAAAATTGTTTTATGTGGTATTGATTTTGTGTTAATATGGTTCTTGATAAGATTACCACATTTGAGGTGTTGGATACCCTTCTTCAGTTTAGATGTGGATGATGTACCCCAGATCTGAATACCGTCCAAATAGGTTTTCAGGATGATCTTGTAGAGCAGTATCTTATTGTTTATTGATAATTGTGATTGTCTACCGATTATCCAGTATATTTGTCTGAGCTTAGGTCTAAGTTGCTTCCTTTTTGTGAAATAGTGTTTTCTCCATGTCAAATGGCTATCGAGATGAATTCGTAGGTACTTGGCTTCATCTCGGAGCAGTAGTTAATGACCATTAAGTGTAACTGGATGGCAATTTTCTCTCCTGTTTTTGAATATTATCTGGACTGACTTGGCATTATTTGATCTGATGCGCCTCTTGCTTAACCAGTGTATAATTCTACTAAGATGAGTTTGCAATATTTGTGATGCCCGATTGTTATCCTTGTGAGACGCTAAGATGACAGTATCATCTGCAAATGTTGCTGCTAGGTTGTTATCACCGGAAGGTAGATCAGCAGTGTACAGAAGAAATAATATTGGTCCCAGCACACGCTGTCTCGTGGAACTCCAGATTTAATTTTACGCAGAGTGATGTCCAAAAATGCTGCAGCATAGTACTTTTTGCCTTCTAGATTTTGTCTAATTTTTTAAACTACTCGATGAATTTGCTCGACTGTGGGGTGATTTTGTCTGAAGCCAAATTGGTGATTGGGTATCAACTGGTTTTGTTCAACTTTTGTTTGTAGTCTGTGAGTACGTAACTTTTCTAGGAGTTTTGACATTATTGGAAGTAAACTTATTGGCCTGTATGCTGTATGACTTTACTTCTTCAAGAAGTTTTCCAGGTTTTGGTAACAGAATAATTTTTGCAACTTTCCATTGAGTCGGAAAATAATTGTTTTAGGCAAGCATTTATTACAAATATTATCAGTTTTATTGATTTACGTGGTAGTTATCGGAGAAAGTTTGCTGTAATAATGTCGTATCCAGGGGATTTTTTTTTGGATTTAGTTTATTGATATAATGAATTGTACATTTGTACTCGATTGTACACATACGTTTGATGATATAAAACAGAACTGAGATTAGATGAACTGATAAAACTGACAAAAAAACATTTTATTACTTCAAATACATAAATACTATAGGACTGAAAAAAAAAGTTGTTAGATAATACAATAAGAACTGATGACTGCCAAACAGGGCTACTCTATTGTTTGAGTTCTCTTGAAGAGGCGCCAATATTTGAAACATTCAAATGAAAACGGAACAATTGGTAATAACATTTTTATTAACTTGTTCAACTGGAATTTTTTTGTTGAAAGTTCCAGTTGATAGGATAGAGAGAAGGAGGCGAATCGGCATACCTGAAATATGGTCCTAAAAAACGAACGCTAATTAAGCTTCTACAATTCGCCGCAGAGGCGCTGTTGTTGCTAGGAATGTTAAAAATACATGGCTTTATATGGGTCTTTTACATAATTTTGTAAAAATAATAACAATAAAGTTGTATATTGCAAAATTAAGCACATAATAGTTATTTATGTACCAAGTCGGCAAAGTGATTCTTTATCGAACCAGTCCGAGATAATGAGCAAATCGAGCAACAGGCGTGTTCGATAAAGATACTTTGCTCACGTGGTCCATACAAACGTATATGGGCAACCGTAAATAATTATAATTAATAAAAAAGGAGATATTATAACATCACATTTTAGAATGACAACGCAAACAGAAAAAAACAAATTTTATTTTCAAGTTAAATGTAATGTGTAATTATTATTGTTTGTAAGTGAAGATTTATGACTACAATTTTATATTAAAGAAATTTGTAATAGAATAAACTGCACTCTGTAAAATACGGGTTTTGACTAGTTTAAAATAAATGTATTTAGAAATAAATAATTTTACTTACACTAGGAGCTTTAAAAAGGCTTTGAATTTATTTCTCCTTGTGTTTTATTTAGTTTTACATCTGATTTATATCCTGTTTTATAACCTGGAACGAAGTAAATCATGATTTGATATTTTTTGTCACTCATGTTATTTGTAGTCAGGTACTTTTTTTCACATTCTTTAGAATATTTTCTCCTATTAAAAAAAACACTTTACTTCAGATTGACTTGCATAGAAAATTAACGTCCATTATAGATTCGCCTCCTTTTCTCTAGTCTTCATAGGTGTGCCTAGAAATTTATTGATTTCTACTTTAGTGTCATCTATGAGATTGAGTGGAAATGGTTAAAATACTTGTAGATAATAGCCAAAAAAAGGATGTTTTTTCTTTGCTGCTTTTGGCCCATGTCCAAGCTCTTTATGAATGGATAGGTTAAAAACTTGGGGACGATTTATCTTTTTTGCAGCTCTTCACAGGGAATATTCAGTGGCTTCTGTTAATATCAAGTTCTATGCCATTGTTTTTGTAAGCATTGAGGAGTCTTTTCAGATCTGGCGTTGCTCTGTTAAGTGTTATTTTGTCTCCAGGAGCCCGTGTTGTTTGCCATCGTTTTCATAGCTTTCTCTTGTTGACTACTTGTTCTCTGATTTTGTCAGGCAATTCATTGATGTTATAATTTTTGTTTATTTCTGTTATGGTATGTTTATTTATTAGAAACAGTGGTTTATTTACAAGAATATTAGTGTTTAGAGTAATTATCACCGGTAAGTGGTCAAACAATAGATTATAGCAGGATTTTGCACTAGCTTGATCCTGGGGTTTGCCTTTGGTAAGTAACTCTGAGGTCGGTAAGGTCTGGTACCTATTTTAGTTCAGTCAGTTGGTCAATAGATTGGGTCTCCTGTTGAAATATGCTTGTAGTTGTTAGTCATCGTACTTAAGTACTGTTGTCTGCCCCTTGGCGTAAGTAACCTCGATGTTTACCATTATAATCCCTAGCAGCCAAGAAACGATTGCCTAGAGCTAGAGTACAAAAGAATCCCTCAAATTATTCTTTTTTAACTAGATGTTTTGGGGGGCAATATACAGAAGCAATTGTTATTGGACCTTGCCAGTCTTCAACTACTACACTAGTTACTTGTAGGTACTGTTGTTTATAATTATTCAGCTCATGATGTTTAATGGAGTTTTTAATTATTATAGCAGTACCACCATGAGCAGTGCCATCTGGGTGCCTAGTGATGTAAGTTGTGTATTTAGAGACCTTGAAGAAGCTTCCATTTGTAAAATGGATTTCCCAAAGTAACATAATATCAATATTTCGATTAATATTAAAAGATTTTAATTCAACCGAATGCTGTGTTAGCCCATAGGCATTCCATATTCCAATTTTTAAAAACTTATTTATTTAGTTAGTTTTGTAATGACTGTGGTTAAAAGATTTAATAATTTCCTTCATAGTAAAAAAATAAATACGGCAACAGTGTATTCTGTACAGACGGAATGGCCAGGCATCACATGTGTAGGTTACTTACCTTTCACGAGTTTGACTTTTACGAAAGTTTTTGTAGTTTCCCTGTCTTAAACTATTAAATTGAATTTACAAAATTTGAGTATAAGTAAGTAGGTTTTATATGTATTAAAGGGATTTAACATAAATATACAAAGAGGTTAGTTTATATTATACATATTAAATTTATTTTTGGGCAGTAAAATTAACAGTAATTTTGAAATTTGGGTATTAACATAGCTTTGAAGTATATTTTACTTTAATAAAAGTTGCTAGATTGTGTTTATAGCTGTCAGTTCAAAAGTTAAACACAGGAGTGCGTTTAGAAACCTTGTACGGTGCGTCTGACCACATACATTAGAATAGGGATCAGACGCGCAGTGCGTGGTTTCTAAACGCACTCCAGTTTTATCAAAAAAAAAAAAAAAAAAACAAGAAACACGAAGAAGGGATGAAAAAATATTTAATTTAACAAGGAATGATAATAAATGATCAAATTATTTCTGTATACAAATGTCGAACCCAAATATGACATTATCTTGGATAACAAAAACAAAATCTAGAAATAATAAATGTCGGTGGATAAAATGTATTATTCTGGATTTAAAATTTAATCTTCTTTTATGCAACCCACTATTAGTGAAAAAATCGACTAGTTTATATCTAAAGAGAAAACAAGATGTCAATATCAAACCTTTGCCAATACAGGAACCCATTCAGATTGGTTTAGATGAACTTTAAACCAAATTCCCCTTAATTCATTCTCTGTCCAGATTTTCAAAGAATCTACAAAAAAATATTAATTGATAAAATGTTATTTTTTGTGAGATTTTATTATGATGAACGAATTGTAGTTCATGAAGGAACTGAATAAATGGGTGTTAGGTAATCAGAAAAAAATTGTTAAGGACGATTTTTCAAAATTCTAGATGAAATCACGCTTACTGGCTCTAGATTTTTACTTTCCAGTAATTGGGATGCTGGTTGTCTGTGCGCGTGTCTGTATTCATGTTACAAAAATGTATAAAAGAAATAACAAATTATGAACTTAAGCTTTAATCCATCTTGCAATGAGATGATGGAGCATTGTCGGAGCATCTGGGGGTACTTTATCAGAGTTAATTTTTCTACTTTAAGGTAAAAATTCTTTGAATAAGTTATTTGTCATTATCTATATTTTTGTCTTATACAGAATACAAAATTAAAAATAACATCCGATTATTTTTATAACCTAGGGTTAATGTTAACCAAATTTTTATAGAATAGACCCCATGAAATGTTTATAAGGTAATAATTTCCATGAAGTTTAATGAATGCAGATATTATGATATTAACATTACTAGTAAATTGGTTGAAGATCAGTGGAGAGAAAGGGTCTGAGAATTAGCAGCAAGAAAACAGTAAAAAACCTTTATAATTGAGGTGTAGTTTACAAAAATATTAATAATTGCATGAGCTTGATATGAAAAGAGTAACGCTAGAGTGGATAATGTGGATAGAATCCAGTAGAGGGGTAAGTGATATAAGGGGTTATGATGGACAAGTAACATTATTTTTAACAGACACGTTATTTGTGAACAGGTTGTTATTTCTGTGTGTTTATAAAATAACAGACCTGTTAAAAATAACACATGTTGTCAATCATAACACATGTTGTCAATCATAACCCCCATAGCACATACTTTGATTACTATACGGTGCAAGAGAGAGGTCCGACACGCCCAACATAGGGCGCGGCCATTTTGATTCCTATGCCACAGTTTATAGCTAAAGAATCAGATCGCTCACTCTGCGTCGACACTTTTGATCTCAATGTTCCAGTTTATACACTGTGCAACTCGGATAATACAATATATGACAACCGCCTATAATAAAACAGCAGTATCCTGAATTTGTATCCCTGGAGTGGATGTTATTTTGGAACTTTCAACTGGTCCGAGTGAGCTAACTGATTCTTTAGCAATAAACTGTGACTCCAAAAAAAATATTCACTGACAGCAGCAAGCAAAATATCAGGTGCGTTTTAATCATCCGCTTCTGCTTCCGGAATTATCCGGAAAACCGACAATTCCGAAGCAGAAGCCGATGATTAAAACGCACCTATTAAAAATATTGCTCCAAGATGTAGGCAACACGTAATAAGGGATCAAAATGGCGGAGTTTTCTATCTCCTTTTAAAAGGCACTCAGAAAGCTGTGCAGTGCGACCATTCTCCATATAGTAAAAGAAAATCAAAGTATGTGCCCCATAGTCATTTGTTGGTCCCTTTGATGTTAGGTATTAACCAAAAGGCAGAAGCGGAGGTGGAGATTACAAATAGAAACAAATGTATAGTTAAGAAGTTGCATCCAAATGTGAAAAAGATACTTAAGAGGGTTAAGAGCAAAAGGTTCAGAGAACACACTAAAAAAAAAATAGGGTTGCAAGGTAGGAGAAGAAGACAGCATATCAGGAAAAACATGGTGAAACAATGTTAGCCTCAAAATAAAGTGAAAGTTGAATTAGGATTGAAATGGAGCTAAATATGGTACTATGGAAGAAGATAAAAATGGCAGGCTAGACGATATTGATATAATAAATAAAATTATCACTTACCGTCTAGCTTTTTACAAAAATCTGTAATATCTGTACATTCCTCTTCTTCAGAATCTATAATTACCCCTTTATATCTATCCTGTTTTCCTTTAAAATGTGTATCAGCTGAATGTGTAGACATATTTAAACTGGAACACAAAACTTATTATTTTCGATATATATACAGTTAAATAATGTTTGTGATTCAAATTAGAATTTGTGTCTAATAATTTATTATGTTTGAGAATATAAAGATGTAATTCTATATAACCTTCTTGACACTGATAAAACTTGAGTAAGATAATTATTGTAATAAACTACGAAATTACAACTAGGGATATAAAATGATCTACTTTTACTTTCTACTTAAATTACAATTTTCAGGTTCTACCACTTTATCTTTATTTTTAAATTACAATCTGACACATATCATTTCATTATTTGATTGACTTTATAGAGAGAACAAACAACATAAACTGTGACCTATGACCCCAACCTTAAGCCAACCTTAGTAACAATTTTCTTTGTAAAATAAGCAGGAATTATAACTCAACTTTGTCAATATTTATATGACAATTAGGTCATTAAAAACTACAGTCTACAGTCAAATTAACGTTAATATAATTGATTCAAGTGTTAAAATTGTTGCATAAGTATAACTTAGATAATTTGTTCAATATAACCATGATTTATAGAATTTAAATAACCAGCACATCTTTTTTGCACTTGAAACAGGTAGTTTAACATTAAACAGTAAGTAACTAATTCCCAGGCCATTCTCAGTACAATCCATATACCTAAATATACTATCTACTTTAATTCCCTTTTTCTTAATTGGCTCGTTAGTCGAACACATTTTACAATACATTTAGATAACAATAAATAACTTACATTCTAAAAACTATGGTTTTATTTAAATGACCATGAAAGTATTTTGCTGCATTTCTCAATTTGTATGTATTGCTGGCTAGCAAAATAATCGGATTAACTAAACAATACATGTGATACAGAGCTCGTTTTCATCTTAATGATTATCACTACTCTATATTCACGTTTTGTATAAAACTAGAATTTTATTTATGTAATAAAATAAATACGAAATATAAATATCTGAATTGTTTAAAAAATTTAAATCAGATTATTATGACAATTGTCCTTCACTTTTCATATGTCTTCTTCTTCTTCTTCTTCGTCTTCTTCTTCTTCTTCTTCTTCTTCTTCTTCTTCTTATTCTTCTTCTTCTTCTTCTTCTTCTTCTTCTTCTTCTTCTTCTTCTTCTTCTTCTTCTTCTTCTTCTTCTTCTTCTTCTTCTTCTTCTTCTTCTTCTTCTTCTTCTTCTTCTTCAGTCCACCCAATGAACGAGTGGTGTAGAAGACCAATGTTCATATGCGCAGCCATTTTTATTGCTCATCTTACTCGGGAGTATTTAAATAACTATTTTCTGCTTCACATTGTTATTGTCCAGTCCACATGCTGGTGGATACTGGGCTGGTGGATTAGACCACCGACCTTGATATTAAACTGGATGGCATAAACCCTACTCCTAATTTCTAAGCCGACAAGGTTGAAAAAACGGTCGGTGCTCATGACAATTTGGACACCAATTAGGCATTCCAAACAAATGAATTACCAGTGGGCAGGTTTGGTATATCTAAGGGTGGCGACATATGGTGTATTCTATCTACTTTACGTAAAATCATGAATAATGGATTACATTTAAATATTTTATGTCAAACCCACCTATACATTTCTTCATAAATTGGCAGGCTTGGCGAGTACTACTAAAAATAGTGTCCAAGTTGCAAGACTATGTCGCTACCCCCCTTAAATATACAAGAATTTCCCACTGGCACCTATTGTTTGACAGGTCGTTGGAATGCCTAATTTCGAGCAATCTACGTCACATTTCTCAAGGGCGTACTACGACAAATTATATTATTTTTTTAATAATAACGCGCAATTTTAATAAATATTATTATTATTATTATTATTATTATTATTGGAACATTTGTTTCAGCTGCGTATTGATCAAAAATCATTTAGTGATTTTCTTAAAGTAAAAGGTGTCAATAGTTAAATGTTAATTACTAAATTTAATTTTGATGATCCTTTTTAGTGCATTTCGATACGCACGCACATGTGGGCGCCAAAGTGTCAAATATCACCTAGCTATTATGCGGCTTGATTTTGTTGATCGGCTGTGTTCTTCCGTGTGCCGAACGCGATCGCTTACTCAACTACTCAACTGTTGCCGTCTGTGAACGCACCATAGATAAAGAGAACGCACCCATTAGGCATTCCAACCTCAGATAAATAAATAAATAATAGATACAGCCCTATCATGCAATATTTGTAACCAGCATCTCCTATCACTATATAGCAGTGGTTACACGACTTGATTGGATATTCGCTATTTTGGTTACACACCTGATTGGTTAGCAAAAAATTGACAGGACTACGTCAGTTAGGTTAGTTATTTTATGGTTATTTTGTGGTTGATTTTGAGTTTATTTCGTACTTTAATTGAAAAATTTTTGTGGTTTAAGTTATTTTAGTGCATTTAATTGCTTAAAAATACCAGAGAATTGTATTGTGTGCTCGAGAAAGTATCTCAAGTTCAGTTCGATAACGTTTCATAGGTAAGTAAATAAAAACCATTACCGTTGCATCACACTTTTTTGAGGGGTATCATAATTCAAAATAAGGTTTAAACAACAACAATTTATTTTAAAGTTTAAAATAACATTCAACGTCGAATTTCGAATTATTTTATTGTGCCTGTGTTTAATAACTTTGAATTTATTAATAGGCTATCTTTAAATTAAAGTTATATTGTTATGCATACTGTACTGTACTGTATTTAAGAAGGCTCTAGTGGCATTTACTTTAGTTTTAAAATCTTAGTATTGCTTTATTTTAATGACAAAATATGTGTATTCAGTAGAATTTGTTCAAGACATTTTGAGGATTCTGCCTTTGCTAAGTCTCCAGGAGGAAAAATGTTTTTAATGAAAGGAGTAATGCCCTTATTTTACTCACAGCCTGAAGCTGTTCCTCAACTGGAAACTATGTCACATTCTAAACCTTCTACATCTGAAACTAAGTGAGTATTTGAACAAAAACTATAAATAATAAAAATGGTTTTTTGTCTTTGTTTAATTAATTTGAATATTTTAAGTATTAGTACGGTAACCAATAAATTTTGTAATTTTTTAATTACCTATTCATGTTATTTTAATAACACAATAATATATGTAATTATTATGATATGTTTTCTTATTGTCTAAATTAAAATAGGTTTCATTTATCTCAAGTGAATGTATATTATATTTACTTATTATATAGTTACACGTCACATAATTAATTTAATTTGTAAATTGTGTAGCAGGAAAATGGTTGCCAGTATCGCATCATCCTGGAAATATCTAATTCATATTCTTGGAGACTTGTCTCGATTCTGCTTACGATCCTTTAAGTCTTTCAAAGTCATCCGTTTTTTCTACAGGTACAGTCTGAAGAACATCTAAAGCATCCCCTTGAAAGGCGATGGTCACATTTACTTACTTTTCTCGTTTAAACGTCCAGGACGAGATTAAAAAATAATTGGGCAGTATAAGAACCGATAATTGGATCAATCTCTTAAGGCTAAGACACGCTAAGATACTTTTGGGTGAATATAACTAGGAAACCATGGCAGGAAACATCGGAAGCCTGTGTGAGATCTGTATACCCATTTATAAATGGTAATGTTAGTACCCGTGACGCCATCTATGTTTCAGCTTCATATAAGTGTTTCTCCTTATATCACAGTCATCTGTAGTCTGTAACCCCGTAGGATTATAGATCGTACGTAGATGCCGCCACGAGTACTAAATAAGAGTCAGATGCGCATTGTCTCGTATTACAAGTTCGTATTTCATCTTGAGTTTTGTCTAGTATTATAACCATTACTGAATTACTGTGTTTATCAGAATACTAGAGAATAAAAGCTTACAACAAGGTGTTGTTTTATTGAGTAGTGTATAAATAAGGCATACATCACAGCCTGCATCTCCCTGAGCAAGAACAGGCTTCGTATTGTAACAGGGATCCTTACCGGGCATTATCGACTTAAAGGACACCTTAGTAAACTGAGAGTAGTAGAGGATAGTGAGTGCAGATTCTGTGAGGAGGAGGATGAAACCTCCATTCACATTCTAACTGAATGTGTAGTACTCCAGACTCCAAGAGCACTATACCTAGTAGGAGGATATCAAATAGAAAAGAGAGAGAGATTTACCTAACACGAAGCCACTTAAGTGAATGTATATTATATTTACTTATTATCACGTCTCATAATTAATTTAATTTGTAAATTGTGTGGTAGGAAAATTGTTGGGTTTTATTTATCTGTAGTTAATGAATATTAGTTTTAGTTATCTAGATACCTGTCACATAATTATTTAATTTATAAATTATGTGAAAGGAAAATTGTTGGCAACTAAATTATTATTATTATTATAATCACCCCATTATCCATTATTAATTGTTATTAAACCAAATGAGTACAATAACACAACGTTTCTAAAAAATTGCTTAACGTTGTTTTATTTCTAACTGACAAGAATTCATCGAAATTAAGTTTTATTATTCAAAATATTGTGTATTAGAAAACCTTGGCAATATTTTAAAACGGTAATTATGAACTTATAATTTATTACATAAGTATCGCTTTATTCTAAACTGTTATTATAACATTTGTTTTGTTTTCCAGATCTAACCCAACTATTTAATAAAATGAATTACATACCTATTATAAAAATTGTTTTTTTAACCCTACTTTCCCAATTATTAAAAACCATAAATATTTTGTGCACAAAATTTAATTAACTTAAAAGGGACTAACAATAAACAGATACTTTATTCTATTTTTTATTATATATATATATATATATATATATACTCGACCAGCGTATCATGTGACATCCAGCAAAAATTTTGACTTTGTGACATCCACCCTTTACAAAGACTTTAGGAAAAAAATAAAAATATGACTTCTTTTAATTTAAAAAATATTATCACTGAGCGAAAAATATTACAACCATACACATTTTAAAAAAATAAAACGTCCTATCGTTGTGAGATCCAAAGTATACACGGTATATATTTTTATTAACAACACTTTGTGACATCCAGAAAAACCTTGCATCTTGTGACATCCAGTTGTTACGTCACAGTATACCATTTCTACAAGAAAATTGCTATTCTTGTAACATCCAGCAAATATATAAATACATTTTTGAATTGGGCACCTTATTACATCCTAAAAACTTAACACGTTTAACGCCAAAGCACACCCTCAAATTCTATGATTTTTATTGTTTTTTTATTCCAATGTGATTTCTTTAGTTGTTTTGATAAAATAATTTATTTCATTTTTAAATAATTACTGAGGCCCTTCCTATGGGGCCTCAGTATTGCATTCGTGCAGACGAAAACATTTTCTTACCCCCATTTTTAAAACTTTTTTTATGTTTCCGATCATTCTGAGTCCGAAAATGCAAAAAAAAATTTTCGTCTGGTTGTCTGT